ACTCCTCACCAGTAATATCTAATGACCTAATTGACACATTACAAGCGGACTTCCCCCTGTTCCTGAGCGTTGCGCCAACAGCTGAGTTGGCTCCCGAGGGGTTCGTTTTTCCGCGTTCTGTCGCCGAAGTTTATCTGAAACAGTCGCTCACCGTTAAGTGTGTTTCATTTTCCTCTCTCTCACTTTTCTTGGTTTCGCAATCACCGCAGTTTATTTCCTTCCGTTCCTTTCTCCCCCTGTTGTTTCCTTGTCTGAGTTGTGGCCTGGTTTGGTGTATATTTTCTTTCTTATCCCATTGGGATAGCTCAGATTTCCGTCGTTGAGATCTACAGCGTCCTTCTCCTGCATGGGTAGTCCAGCCCTGTCCAGTCCCCCCCTCTTCTCCCCTACCCCTGGTGCTGCGATCTGGGGTACTTCTTCCTCAACACCACTTTTGAGCACCCACCCCTCAGTTGCGTCCGCGATGGACCTTGTCGATCTTGTCCTGATACTGACGTCGTCTCCTTTGCTTACCATAGGCTCGAGAGCTTTTTATTACATTCTCTAGCGGAAATTGCCATCCACCCAACACCCCGTCGTGTTTTATTTCCTCCCACCAACAACTGTTACCTACCGCCCTCCCCTCCCTAGTGTTCCAGCATTTTCCCATCGTACGTCGTTACGGTCAACGTCTTTGCTTTCGCCTGGTATCTTGGTTCTCTTTGCTATCGGATGCAAAACCTGGTCTCAATACCTCACCCCTGTGTCGTCAAAGCGTTTGACTGCAACACCGCGGGCGCGCCTCGAGCGTCGTCGTCATTGACATTTTACGTACCTTGGTGAACCTTTCGCAGTCCATATTTATACCTCCTTCACCCTTCATCGGGCGTCACATAGCGGAACGAGATGGAGTCTCCTGCAGTCTACCCGGAGTCTCCTATGGAACAGGATGACACGCCATTTCCCTGTAAGGGCTGTGGAGAGGTATGCGAGCCCAGTCGGCATTGAGATACGTGACGTATACTAATTTTGGTGCCTCCCACTAGATTTTGGAAGAGGGAAAGGCATTCGAGCTAGGTAGGTTCGCACTCGGAGTGGCCATCCCGTATCAGAAGCTGACAGCTAGCAGCGGGCAATCGGTGGCATATTGAATGTTTTTGCTGCAGCACTTGTGGCACGCTCCTCGACTCGGACGCCCACCTCCTCCTACTCGGTGACGGCTCGCTGATTTGTAGCAATTGCACGTATAGCTGCAGTTCTTGCGGGAACAAAATTGAAGACCTAGCCATCTTGACCGGAGAACAAGCATTTTGCGCGCAGTGCTTCCGATGCCGAAACTGTAAACGGAAGATCGAAAACCTGCGCTATGCACGGACGTCACAAGGTATCTTCTGCATGGACTGTCATGAGTCTTTAATGCAACGCCGAAGAAAGAGAAATCGTGCAGCTGCGCCTACGAAGAAACCAGCGCCTGGTGTGAAACTCGACAAATCGCTGCCTTCGCTACCCCCAGAGGAAGCCGGTCATGCACGATTCACAGATGACCTAGAACCGGATGCTTATGCGGATCCAGTCACAGAGGGGCCGTCGCGAGGTGTGGCGCCTGCGTTGGACGCGGGGAGGATGCCGGGCTCCTCTGGGACTCGTACGGCTGCTGATCAAGGTAAGATTACCTCTACAAAGTTGAAAGACACTTACTGACTGGGATCTGCCTTAGACAACTTGATTCTTCCTTCGAGCACATATCGTAGTAATCGCCACTCGATGGTACAACGCGAACCCGAAACAGATGGCGGAGAGTTCCTTATTCCCCTGGCGTTTGATCCTTCTGAAGAGCAGCGGTCGCCTCAGCATTCTAAATCTCCCGGTTCTTTGCATCGGTCCCCTAGAGAGGGAACGGAATCGATGCCCTCGAATAGCTCATCACCGCATATTGCGTATCAAGAGAAGGGCCGTGAGCGTGTTGATGTTGACACCGCCCGCTGGCGGCAAGATGATACCAGCACCTACTCTCGTCCAACAACTAGTGAGGACCGCAGAGGGCCGCCAGAACTGCCGAGACGTGCAAGATCGGGCTCGCTTCAGAGTTCTCGGTCAGACTTGCCCTCTGGTCATAAGGAGACCAGCACGTTTTCCAACTCGAGCCCTGAGAGCACAAGGTCGCCAGCTACTCCTCACCGGGACATATTAACGACAGATAGCTCTGTAGCTCAACCCATTCGGCCATCACATGAGCTTCGCCGCTTACACGAGAATAGCGGGTCGTTGGACTCTGCGCGGTCGTTCCTGTCCTCTGGTAGCATGCCACATCCCCCCAAACGTGGGGATTCGTTGGAAAGCAAGCTGCACCTTACCAGGAAGGATCCCGGCATGCCCCCTCGCCCACAATCAATTGCCCCGGGTGAGCCGTGGCTCGACCGAACCAAGGGTTCGCCTAAACTAGGTGAATCCCCTCGGATTTCACGCAACAATGCCAACTTGGAGCAGTCGAAGCCCCCGCGCCCGAACTCAATCAACACCTTCCATCAGTCTGACTTACAGCGCCAGGTAGACCGCGCGGGGTCTCCATCGGTCTTACGGTATAGCGGCGGGGGCGACTTTTCTATGGATGAGGATATGGCCCGACTTATGTCATCTGATGACCCTCTGTCAGCACAGAATAGCGAGTCGTTCTTGCGTCGCGTCTCAAACTCGGTGCGCCATGGTCGCAGCTTCAGTGATAAAGGCTCTCACTTGTCCAAGGATGCCAAATGGCCCAGGTCGCCGGTCAATGGGACCGCTCCGTTCCAGGACCTTGGAAGTCCCACCTCCGTCTCCCCAGAGAGCGCCGGACCTGAAGAAGTGGCATGGCTGCGGAGTGAGCTGCGCAAAGAGCGCCAGCGGGTCCTTGAGCGGGACCATAAGATTGTTGAAATGGAGGCTATGCTGAACGCCACTGCGGATGTGAAGCAAGCCAACACGGAGCTTAATGAGAAGCGCTCTACCATGGTTGTGCTGGACGCTCGCAAGGAGATTGTCATGCGAGAACTTTCGGTGTTGACCGACCATCTCGAAGCTGAGAAGCGCGGCGGTGGCGGCACTCTGGACCTTGGTAAGCTCACGAATCAAGTACTGCGGGATTTTGTCGAGTCCATCCAGAAATTGAAGGACTCCTTCGCACCTCAGATCGAGGAACTGGTTCAAAAACGCAACGAGACTGCCGAAGAACTGGCAAACTTCAACCGTATGAAGGACAAGAGCTTCCAGGAGTTCGAGCAGCTGTCCTCAAAGAATGCCCAGCTGGCTGAATTGAACAACCAGCTGGTCCACCAAATCCAGGAGCTTTATAAAGCTAATTCTTCAGAGAGTAACCGCGGCGCAAATGGTCTCGGTATTTATTCACATGGAAAGGAGAAATCATTGTCTTCCATCGATGCGCTGAAGGCCAGCAGTAATGACTTGGTCCCATCGATGTCGACAGCTAACATGTCCGAAGAGGCAGAGCCAGCTACTATTGTTCCCGGGCCCCAAGTTGTTAGCATTCGGAAGGGACAACCTCGCAAATTCAACTGGAAGAAGGGAGGTCAAAATGTCGCCAAGGGTGTCACTAAGGGCCTCAATCGCGCATTTGGTACGAGTGAGAGCGTCACAGAAGCTACTCCTGGTCTGCCACGGTCCCAGACGCAGGACCCTAGCCGCCAAGGATTTGGATTCTTTGGAAACCAGCGAAATAAGCAGGCTGGTACAAGGATGCCAACAACTGACAGTGTTCCGGCTTTGGCCGAAGTTGGCTCAGCAGGTATGTATCATGGACTATCCTGACTGAGTCGCGTTAGCTAATGAATTTTAGGTCTCTTTGGTACCGACTTGGAGCAGCGCATGGAGCACGAAAAGAGCATCATTCCCGCTATTATCACTCGTTGCATTCAAGAGGTCGAATTACGAGGTTCGTTTTTCATCCCTGAATTTAAATTGCGCAAACTAATAGTCGTTTTAGGCATGGATATGGAAGGGATTTACCGCAAGTCAGGTGCCAGCTCGGCGATTCAGACTATTCGGGATGGGTTTGAGCGACAGCCACAAGACTATGATATCTCGGATCCTGACCTCGATATTCATGCGGTGACATCGGCCTTAAAGCAATACTTCCGAAAGCTACCAAACCCATTGATTACATTTGATGTGTACGAAATGATTATTGAAACTGGCGATATCCCTTCGCAGCCTGAGCGGATCGAGACCCTCCAGAAGTGTCTTCTGGAACTTCCCAGAGTCCACCGTGATGTTCTCGAATTCCTCATGTTCCACTTGAAGCGTGTGGTTGAGCGTGAGAAGGAGAATTTGATGACCAGCCAGAACATTGCAGTTGTTTTTGCTCCAACAATCATGAGGCCGCAGAGCCTGGCACGTGAGATGACGGATGTGCAAAAGAAGAATGATGTGTTGAAGTTTTTGGTGGAAAATTGTCAAGAGGTGTTCATGGGTCTGCAATGATAGAATATCCCCTTCTTTGCAAGTCCATTCAAAGCTTGGTCTGGCATCAGGCTTCGAGGCTTTTCGTTTTTGTTTTCCTTTCTTCTATTTTTGGACAATGTTCCTCAATTTCTCCTCTACCACTAGAATACCCCAAGACTCACCAGCTCGACCTATGTACATATATGGCGATTTCTGTCACCCCTCCCTGAACCCCTCATGATCAGCGCCTCATGCTCAATACCCTTCATTTGTTTGCAGTATGCCTATGTAATTCTCCATTTCTTTATTACCCCATTCATTCCGCAGGTTCGAAGTTAGTCCTTAGTTGCTGCCGGAGATGTTTTATATGTGGATTTGTGAAATGCCCGGCTTGCAGCGCCTGGGTCGACGTCAGACTTTTGTGTAATGCGGCTTCTACCATGTGTGCTTGATGTATTAGTCTAGCGTCTGGCAATGGGATAGATGTTGTTGTCCTGGCACTCTCTAGCGGGTACCGCTTGAATGTTTGATTATGCGTATGTGTTTTAGATAAGTGCTAAAACCATGGACCGCCCATCCTCACCAATTCAAAACGTCTCATCCTCTATGCGCTGGACCCTTTGGATTATGCTGGGACTCTGCTCGGCCGCAATATCGTCTGTTGTGTCATTTGCCCCGGCGGTAAATAACAAATCCTCGACAATTCGCCTGGATGCTTCTTTTGCTGTAGATTATCAGTCAGCCTGTGCGATTACACCGGGATAAGCGGACTAACCTGGAGTTTTCATTAACCTGCTCTGGGGGATATGGAACTGCATTGTTTTCGGCGGACTCGGCCCCAGATCCTCATCCTCGTCATTGTCGAAGTCATCGTCGCTGTCCCACACCGGTCGGTTTGTGCCACCGCTCTTTACTGGTGTCAATACACTAATCCCGGGCTTTGGTGTAACACGCAGATGACTACTTGTACGTCGCTTCCGGTTGGTACCAGGGGTTTTGAGAGGCGAGGAGAAAATTTCCGCATGGAGCTGAGGTGCTTCGGGTTCAGGACTGGAGATCGGAGAGTCATCATAGCCATACTTGGACGCGGAGGGTTTCGGGGTTATAGTGAATTTAGAGCGGCCTGCCCCATAATCCTTTCCGAGCGGGGTGGCTTGAACTCGATACGTCTTGTCATGGAGACGATGCAAGACCGGATCAGCGGGGCTCTTGCCCGCAGAAAGCTTTTCATGGGACACCGGAGGAACAAATGGCGACGAGGACATTAGCTCGTCGCGCGGGTTAAATGAATATCCCTGCGGGTGGAAAGGTCTCCCGGGGGTAGTGGGAAGATCATCATCCTCGCCTTCAAAGGGCGCGTCGCTCTCGTCGATTTCCCTCTTCAGAGCCTCGTATGGTGACGGCCGGGCGATGGATGACGTCACCGTCGTGTCGTTATCATCTGCTCGGTCGAAAACGGGCGGCCGGGGTGTACTATGCGAGGACAGGCTCAGCGACGTCAATTCCAGGTCGTCCGCGCGGTGGTTAATATCCAGATGGTCGGACGAGGGTGTTTCGTATACGCCAGTATCGGTAAGGTTGCTCGGTGTGGCATCGGCAGTCGAGTCTCCTTCTGTTACACTTTGTTCTTCCAATGTGTCTTCATTGGGTCGTTCCTCATAGCCTGAGAGGGAGACATTTGCGCTCGCCTCAAAGAATTGTTTCCAGAATTTGGCGCCTTCCCAGACATCGTGGGAATGTTCTGCGTATTTCTCGACAAGGGGGAGGATGCTAGTTGTAACGATTCGATGGGCCTGGCTGAAATTATGGTCGATTTCTAGAAAAGCATTGATTAATGATCGTTGTTGAACAGGGTCTTATCGTTGTTTACCTTGCAGGGTCAGGGTGATAGATTGTTCAAGCTTTTCCAATTCCTCAGTTAGCGTCAAGGGACGCTGGGACATGGATGATGGCCGAGACATGTTCGCTGCCGATAAGCCTTTACATATACAGCAACAGCAATGGGCGGCGGTAAACAGTTGCTCAATCAAGACTATGAACAATGTTGATGTCCGACGCGGAGGGGAAAAACAACGGAATGCCCAAAGCGGACGGTAGGGCTTCCGGATAAGGGCTGTATTGACGTCACGTGGCGAGCCGCGGGGCGCCGCGCATCGGATGACGCTCACATCGCCTTCCTTTTACTTGGCTGCCTGACATGGTCGGTTAGAGGAGGGAAACGACAACAATTTGACCACGGGAGGTCAAGATGCCAACACCGGTTGCGAAAGGTAAGTTTACCTCTCTTTTCTCTTTATCTATATCCTACGAGCTCGTTGGCCGGCTCAGCCGGGCGGTGTGCTTATCAGTTGATGGTTGATAGGGGTCTGCATGGTCAAAGCTGGATAGCTAACGCTCCCTCACGTTGGTAGGAATAATTATCACTGTTTCAGCCCTTGTTGCTGCGGGCATTGCAGTTTATGAATCACCTCAGTTCCGAGAATGGGTCAACACTTCGCGACGCAAGATTGCCGTCGCATTGCATAATCTCGGCGATGAGATCCACCCTCGAACCTCTGCCTCACCTACGAGGCAAGACATATCTATGACTGAAGAGCTGGGCCCGGAAGCTGAAGAGCGTAGGCGGATAGCAAGGGAAGAGCTCCAACGACGACGTTCCATGCTCGAGGAACACCGGAAAAGAAGGGAAAGTGCTCCGGCAGGATCGTTCGATGCGCTTGTTGATGACCATGGCTGTTTACTTCGGACCGAGAGCCCAGAGCCTTCTCGAGGACTAGGTAGCTCTACCGCCGTAGAGATGACAGCATCACAGGCTACTCAGCGCGGTAAACATAATGCTTCTCCGACTCCTATGGCCGAAACGCAGACTCCTGGTGCTGCTCTAACGAGGCAGAACTTGCAAGTGGCGATACCAGCAGCTGTAGGTGCGGCTGCAGCTTCTGCGACGCTTATTGACTACACACCTACTTCCGAGACATCAGGTATGGACTTCTCAACATCCACACTGAATCCTACCGAGGAGGTCGAGCGGCCCCTTTCACGGTCGTCGAGTCATACTGAGGGTTATTCTGAAATACTTTTTGCTCATCCGGGTCCTTCGACGAATGAGACTGGTCGCGATTTGAGATCACCGTTTTCCGATCTGTCGGACTTGGATTCTACTGGCGCCGAACACCACGAACGACCGTCTACGCCGTCAACGGCTGGTAGCTTCAGTCAGATTTATGAGTCCGCTGCGGACGAATGGTCAGATGGCACGTTGAGTGACCATGGACGGTCGACGCAGGGAGTCGCCACCCCAGCCAGCTGGTCGGAGGTGGGCAGCGTAGTCAGCAATGAGGATTTGCAAAATCGCTTGTAGGCATGTGGGAGATTTATATAGAATAATTCCGATATTGGACGGGCTTGCTTGGAGGATGGCGCGGTATGGACGGGACAGGTGTCTCGGAGTTCTTTCGATTTTTGCTGATTCTGCTGCAATTTCACATGGCTTTGTAGAATTTAAATTTAGTCCAAGCTTCCATCCATCACTTTAGTTTAGTTGCAGATTAAAAACCAATCCAAGGAGCTTGGCGATTATTAATGATTTAATGGTCGGATCGATCTTAGTCTGCTTAATATGGGGAAAGCAAAATGAGCCTCGGCTCTTCCTCGGTTGCTGCTGGCAAAGGTCGGCCTCGCTCTCCTCCTTTCTTTCTATATCACCACTCTTTGTCCCTCTGCAATTCCTCTACTTTCTCTCACCGGAGTTAATAATAACTTGGTAAGTGTTGCTGTGTACTTCCAATCCCCTTTCACAGATGCAGCGGCCTAGACCACTGTCCTTCCCCGCATAGGTACATATCGCTGCTACCGAATGAGTTGGCTGTCCGGTGTTGCTTCCATTACTGCCTCTGCGTCGAGCTTCAAATTGTGGGACTGCTAACGCGGTCTGGATAGATACATAACATACACCATGGCTACGGATCGCTTGAATTCCATTCTCAGCCACCTCAAGGGAGGAAACACTGGCCTTTCCGCCATGTAGGTTGCCGTCCGCATCACATGGGAGAGCTCTACTGACTTGCGCAGCACCCAGAAAAACCCAGACGATGTAGTCATTACACTTGCTCTGCGTACTCCTTTGACTAAGGCCGGCAAGGGTGGATTCAAGGACACAGAGTTGGACCACATCGTCTACTCCTTGTTGAAGGAAGTTGTAGACAAGTCCAAGATCGACCCTGCTCTGGTTGAGGATGTCTGCTTGGGTAATGTACGTTTTCCTACCTCGGCCAAAGAGAGGGTTCATGCTGACAATGCAAAGGTCAATGACGGCAAGGCCCCCTATCTCCTCCGTGCGGCCTCCCTTGCGGCCGGCATCCCCAACACATCCGGCGCATCGTCCGTCAACCGGTTCTGCTCCTCCGGCCTCAAGGCTGTTCAGGACATTGCCAACCAGATCACATTGGGCCAGATCGATGTCGGTATCGCCCTTGGTGCCGAGTTGATGTCTGCTGGCGGTGAGCCAGTCCGTCCTTTCAGCGAGGAGGTCCTTAAGAACCAGGAGTCTGCCGACTGCTTGCAGCCCATGGGCCAGACATCCGAGAACGTCGGATCGGACTTCAACATCAGTCGTGAGGTTCAGGACAAGTATGCCGCTGAGTCATACCGCCGCGCGGAAGAGGCCCAGAAGGCTGGTTGGTTCGATGATGAGATCGTCCCCATCACCACCAAGGTGAAGGACCCCAAGACCGGCGAGGTCAAGCAGGTTACTCTGACCAAGGATGAGGGTATCCGGTATGGAACGACGGCCGAGTCTCTCGGCAAGATCCGACCGGCTTTCCCCAAGTTCGGCAACCGCAGCACTGGTGGCAACTCCAGCCAAGTGACTGACGGCGGTGAGTTCCTTCACGCTCGATACTATGCTTAGATGCTAATATGATGAAGCTGCCGCGATCCTCCTCATGCGTCGCTCCAGGGCTATCGAACTGAACCAGCCTATCCTGGCTAAGTTCTGTGGTGCTACTGTTGCTGGCGTTCCCCCTCGCGTCATGGGTATCGGCCCTACCGCTGCTATCCCCAAGTTGCTCTCCAAGTTCAACTTGAACAAGGATGATATCGATATCTACGAGATCAACGAGGCCTTCGCCTCCATGGCTGTTTACTGTTTGCAGAACCTTGGCTTGGATCATGCCAAGGTCAATCCCCGCGGCGGTGCCATTGCACTCGGCCATCCCCTGGGCGCCACGGGTGCCCGCCAGATCTGCACAGTTCTTAGCGAGGCAAGACGGACTAAGAAGAAGGTGCTGGTCACGAGTATGTGCATTGGTACCGGACAGGGCATGGCGGGATTGTTCGTCAACGAACAGGTGTAAACAAGTCACATACTAACCATCCTGTATCTGGTGCAAGTTATATAAAACGAATATAGGAAATAGCTTTAATGCAGTCATGTCTTCATTATCATTAGGTCATGTATAAGAATATTAGGAATAGATATACACAGATTCAACCCAAACCGCATCAATTACCACCCTCTCTACCCTCATCGTCTCTCTTCTTCCTCATCCTCTCCTCCGCAGCTCTGGCTAACATCTCTCTCCTTCCCTCAGCACCGTGCGCCCCAGCCCTTATCCCTACCTCATCCTCCCTCAACCCACCCAGCACAAACTCGCCCCCAGTCCAGCCACACTCATCAACAATCTCCATATCCTTCTCCGCCTCCCAATCCTCCGGCACATAAAAGTCCTGCCCAGTCAGTCTATTTCCTCCATGCTTCCAATCCGCCCTCTCCACCTCCTTCTCGATCTGCGCCGTCAGGTCCCAAAACGCGCGATCATGGTCACTATGCACACAATGCGCCAGCTCATGACACAGCGTCTTCCGTATAGTCCGATAATCGCGATACCCATCGTACGCATCCGTACGCAGCCGCAACTCAATCACCTCCCCCTTATTCCGATTCAGCCCTAGCGTCCGCGATTCCATCGTCGTATGCTCCGCAGGATTCATCTCCGTCAATACCGGCACCGAGAACTGATGCTTAGCCATCGCAGCCCTGATCCCGGGGTCGTCGCGCAGCCGCTTCAAGAACTCCAGCGACCGTTCCGGACGAGGCAAGTACGACAACGGCAGGAGCCGGTGGAACGTGTACGAGCTACTCGAATCGGAGAGCGTATGGACGCCACCACTACCAGCCGTCCGGGCTGGTTTATTCTTCGCGGCTGCTGCGAAGGCCGAGGCGCGCGCTGAGGCGCGGCGTACGGTTTCCTCGGATTGCGCGTGCAGGGTCTCGATGGCTTTTGTGGGGGTGCCGAGGAGGGTGATTTTGAATTTTGGGGAGCTAAGCGGCAGGATCGTTGTTAGGGGGGTGGGTGGGAATGGGGCCTTCTGCATGCCGGGTTTGGGAGATATGAGGAGCTTTTGCGTTTCCGGGGGGATGTGGAGGGCTGTGGCTATTGTGTTGGAAAGGTCTTCGAGCGTCGAGGTGGAAGGGAGGGTGAGGGCGTGGGGTTTGCTTTGGTGGTGGATTGTTAACGTGAGATCATCTGTGTCTGCCATTTTGTGTGGGCTGGATGCTGATATGTCCCCTGTCTGGTCGGTAGGGTAGTGATCGTAGCGTGAGTAGAGGGGGGTTATCGGCGCATTGCTTTATATGGAAATGGTGAGTATATATAGTTACTTACGAGTTATACAGACTTTGAGTCAGCAGTGCTGGGATTATTAATTCCGCGGATTCTTATCGAAGCCTGCCGGTTTGGGACTAGTGCAGACCTCGTTGCGGAGCTGGCCCGCTATACCGGAAAAGGTCATATGAGGCAATCGGGCTGGAGCCCTGAGGTGCCAGCCGATACCTCATTTCTGACATATTACGTCTCCCTCTTTGTAATGCTGTAGAGACGATTAGTCTCTCACAATGCGGTCTCATAAGTGACAGTTTGAGACACAATGCTCTTGCGCCGTGGGAAGGAATGTGTGTGTGTTAATGGCTAGCTGAAATAAGGGGCCTAAGCTCGTACGTCCTCTCGAGGCAATCATTTCCTCTACATTTCAGTATTGAATGATGGTACTGGGTGTAATATGGTCATTTAAGGCACAAGAAGAATCGAGTGTAGGCGTGCGGTACACATGCATACGATATCAGAAACCCCATTTGCTGTCATGCGGTAAGAATTTAGCGCCCAGGATGCAAGGAGAGACAGCATATATAAGTACGTGGTAATTGCCAGGTAACAGTGACCAAGGATAGACTTTTCTATGCTTGCTATGAAGGTGACTAGGCATGCTCGGAGTATCTCATTTCGTGGGCAACTGCGCTCAGCAACTAGTTCTTCTCGCACTTCGGAATATTTCCAGTGGACACCTGAAGCTCATCTCCAAGTACAAGGAGCCGTATCAAATCAATGAATTTGGAGATGGAAATGAACCGGCTATCACTGTCGTCGTGCATGACCCTAATGCGTGGAGAAGAATCTGCGCATGTTTTGACCTCGTGGGTGATCGAAACAGAAGACGTAACCGTATATTGCTGAATGTCGTCTAGGGGTTTGCGGAAGCATATATGTATCAGGAGGTAGATTGCGATGATCTCAGTGGGCTGCTGGATGTATGCTATATCCCCTATTATGCCAATCTCGTACCATTCGGATACCAACGTAAAAGCAGATCTATATTAAAAACAAATCTCAGCTTGGCACCGGAAACTTTTTCATGCAGATTGTTCCCCAAATAACAATGTTCTTGCAACCCTCAAATGATCCCCAAAACGCCCGCCGTTACATTTCGTCCCACTACGATGATTCGGAGGACCTGTTTGCAAACTTTCTTTCCCCAGACATGAACTACTCTTGTGCCCACTGGAGCGGGGATCCCACCGAGGTCTTAGAGGCAGCGCAAAAGCGAAAGGTCCAGCGCCTACTCCAGAAAGCCCAGATATCAGCAGATCAACACATTCTCGAAATCGGTTGCGGATGGGGAGATGTAGCCATCACAGCCGCTCACACGACAGGGTGTCGAGTAACAGCACTGACTCTATCCGATAATCAAAAGAGAGTTGCAGAGAAACGGGTAGAAGAAGCCGGGCTGGAGGAACGTGTTCGAATCCTTCTTCAGGACTATCGATCCGCAACTGGGCCTGAAAGTAATGGAGGGTACTACGATCGTGTAATCTCGATTGGGATGTTCGAGCACGTCGGCGCAGAATATCTAGACGAGTATTTCCGTGTCATCTGCTCTCTGCTTCATCCCAGTCATGGTGTTATGGTCATTGACGGCATTACCATGACGAACGAGGTTAGTCGTCTATTTCGAATTCGGTCTTCCTGGCTCTAACGCACCACCTTCAGATGCGCCGGTCCAAATCTAACGTACCGACCTTTATCGACCGATATATCTTCCCTGGGGGTTATCTCCCAACTATCAATTCTCTCCTGGGCGCGGTACACAATGGATCAAATGGTCAGTTGGAAGTTACCTCAGTTATGAACATTGGACCGCATTATGGCAAGACACTTTGTGCCTGGAGAGACAACTTCCTCCGGAACTGGGCGATTATCGAGGCGGCGTTCCGGGCTGCACAGCCTGATGCGTCCGATCAAAACGTCGAAGCATTCCGTCGGAAATGGTTGTATTATTTCATCTACTGCGAGGCGGGATTCCGCTTGAGGCTGTTGGGTAATTATATCGTTGTTGCGGCGAAGACACCGGAGTTGGGTTTTGAGTACAATGAGACTCTTGGGGAGATGTTGCAATAATATTAGGAAGAGTTCTTAAGCTGGCGATCGAACAGACGGGTTGCTGTGCTAGCCATTGGAGCCGGAGTTAGAGTCAGGGAGAAAAAAGATAGAGAGGAGGCCTTGTGAAGGATGAGGATCGAAAGGAAGGGGAAGAGGGGTTGGTTTATACTCAGGGGGCCAGGAGCCTGGGTGCCTCGGGCAGTACATGCCGCTCAGCATGGATGTTCGAGTTACTAGCACCCCATAACAGGTTGGTGAGTGTCTCTTTTGCTATCTCTCCAACAGACTAGAGCGTGCGACTGTGTAGTTATGGTACTAGACACTAGATGCTAGATACTAGATACTAGATACATAAACAGTTTATTCCCAAACGGCTGCAGCGTAGTGTGCCTCTCAGGATTCACAAGCCCAGTGTGTTTCATCTACTTTGTGCTACTTCCTCCGTCTGCATTCTCGAGGGTATACCATTTACACTCTCAAAGAACCACAATCTGGATTAGACGTCATATATCGAGATATATCGAGATACTGTACATGTAAAGGCACGGCGTCTGCTCGAACGTGAATGTCATGTCTATATGTGCGCATAAATCTCTATGTACTCGATACTCTATAGTGAATCTAAACAAGATTATCTCCAGGTCACTGACCCTGTACCCCTAAGCCAAACATTCTAACACTGTTATTCCACGCCGCGCGTGAGACCTCCTCTAGTGAGATACCTTTCAAGCCTGCCACAACCAGAGCAATACGTTCAATCGTGCAGCTTTCATTTCTCGTCTTGACCATTTGCCCCAGGATAAACTTGTTGTGCTTGCGAGATGGAGGTAGAGGCCTTGCATTGGCGAGATATGGGGCGATTTTCTCGTCATTGCTTTGAATCTCACACCACGGAGCATCGGTCTCCAGCTGCAGTTTGTCCAAGGGGATATGGCGGACCATCTCCAGCTGCTCTTCAGTGCGGAAACAAACACCATTGACACTGATATCAAAGCCCAGCTCAACCAACTGCAACATCTCCTCCTTCGACCCAGCGAACGAATGCACTAACCCGCCGCGCGGCAACTTGGGCAGGTAAGGTCGGATAATCGAGATGAAATCGGCACACGACTCGCGCACGTGTAGAAAAAGAGGTAATTGAAATTCGATGGCCAGCTCCAGCTGATCGCGGAAAGCACGTTGCTGGGTCGCTTTGTCGGCACGGTCCAGATACTCATAATCAAGTCCAATTTCCCCGAAGGCTACCAGTGGTGACGGGTTCTCGGCTCGAAGGGTTTCTCCAAGCTTGCGAAGGTTTTGAAGATACTCGCTTCCGTCGTTTTCGACGTATATCTCACTCGCATGGTACGGATGCACACCTAGTGTCATGGTGCACATGTCCGGAAATTCATTCACAACTTTCACGTTCTCATGAGCTCCTGGAAGGGTCATGGTAGTGAGCATGATCTTGTCGCAATCATACTCTTTGGCACGTTTAAGGACCTCTGCGAAGTCTGATTCGTGGTACTGTTTGCCTCTATAGATGCCTTGGAATTGGTCTGCAGTGTATGTAACGGCGACCTGTTTGGGTGGTGAGCAAGTCCTCGGGCGTTTGGTGATTCTTGAAAGTAGGATTCAGATACTCACATCCGCAAAACGCAAGGACGACGTCGGTGCTGATAGGGTCATTTTCTTTTTGATTGAGAGCCTGGAATATGTGTCCTGCGTCGCTGAATTTAAAGCCCTTGCCTGGCAACTGAACACTTTCCGTTAGTAAACCGCCAAAATTGATGCCCAGGGGGTTGAACTATGATGACCTTTATGATAGACAGTGCGCGACCACAGGTGACGCATCAATTGATACCGTTGACTGATATTCAGAGAAATCCTGGAATTAAACAAGAGATATACATGATTCATTCCCTAATTCGGGCAGTAGATGCCATATATACTGTTCCTTTCCAGCGCGAGATAATTTTTTCCGACTCGGGTACACGTACCCGAGTTCGACCCATATGGCATGGAAATGGCGGCAAAGTAGTAGAAACATGTACTCTTGTGAATCCGCTCGCATGATGGCAAAACTGTAGTAGGGTTAGAACGGTATTACTGTATATGAGCGAATAACCATGTAAGACTCGAGTCATTCACCATCCTACTTCTCTCGCCGCTCAAGCTAGGACAAGAGCGGATTTCCAGGCTAGATGGCTGAGAAGTTGTCGCTGTTTTTTGAAATATCTTGAGAGGTGTTTAGCGCTCATAAAGATGTATGAGCAATGGCCAAATTGAGGTTTGAATTTAATCCAAGATGTGTTCCCAAGGCAAGTCAAGTCGTATTGTGTGAGGGAGGAGATCCTTCAGATGGAATTCCTTTTTCAGCTATTCCCAACAATTTAGCTTCACGTCTGCGAAATTAGATATCAAAACCACCTTTGTTAACCGTTTGAACGTCTTCGTTGCGATGGAAAGCAGAGGGCAGCTCCAGGTAGCTCCCAAGCACGGTAGGCGTCAAACGCCATTTATCTCGTTGGACCGGTCATTTTGGTTAGGGAATGATAGGTAATGACTGAATCTGCAATGGTGTATGTCTTTAGTATGAAGCCTTGCATTCACCCGGGGAGATTGATGTTTAAAGAAGGCGATCCTTTGATAGCTTGAGTTTGAATGCTGCGGATAGAGGATCTCGGGTACAGTTACCCGGACTAACGTTAGATTGGAGATTTATGAGAACGTCTCCAGACACTTATCAACCCTTTCAGAGCTCAACACTCCATAACCAGAGTAGAAAATATAGAATATCATTCCGAGATGAATAAGCTCTGCCCGATATTTTGAAGGAATCTCGTGCAGCAATCATATCGTAACAGATCCTTTTGAGCTCTGTATTGTAATATCGTTCATACCTCAAGTCAAGAGTATAGCATGCGTATGTACCGCTTGGAAGAGGTGATGTATCTCATTCCTGGAAAGACGTGGCACTAGCTAGGGCTCTAAGCTCCCAGTATTTAGGCTTCTTTGCCCACTGAGGGTGCCTTTTGAGAAGCTAGGTTGGTGCATTGATCTTCGCTGTCATTCGCTGCCTCTAGCTGGGAATCCAGCGCCGAAGCTAGCCCCATCAGAAAGTCAATTACTAGCGCAGGAGAATAAAATAAGACAGATTTACTCCGTAATACGTACCTATGTAGAAAAAACAGGTTATTGTTGTCCATGGTACTGGGTTGGGTCTGGAAGCTTTCCGGATGGTAAGCCGGACGTCATCGACTCCGTTCCATATCCTGGACTTCCGAAACCACGCAACAAAGCAAGGCTACGTCAGGGTACCCTCATCAGCTATCTTATTGCCTGTCATGGATTTAAATACAGAGGCTATAAATCCAAATCTGATTTTGAGTTCATGCTGGGAGCACCTTTGGAGGATTGACTTCTCTAACCTGCGAACTCGACACTAGCAGCTTCCGATATATATCATCATTTTAATTTAATCAAACTTCAAGATATTTTCAAGTCTAATAGCTTTGTCATATCTCATAATGGCTCCCAGCAGCGAATCTGAGGATAACATCAGCGCGTATGGAGCTACTCGCTCCACCATCAAGGGGCAGCCCCTGGATGCAGATGAAGCCCGCAAAATGGACGCATACTTCCGAGCAAGTATGTATCTATGCTTGGGTATGCTCTATATGCGAGACAATGTCCTGCTTAAGGAACCCCTAAAGGTCGAGCACCTCAAAGCCCGGCTACTCGGTCACTGGGGATCGGATGCCGGCCAGTCCTTCACCTGGCTTCACATGAACCGCCTGATCAAAAAATATAATCTGGATGTCCTATTCGTTTCCGGTCCTGGCCATGGTGCCCCTGCTGTTCTCTCTCAGTCATATCTAGAGGGAGTCTACTCCGAAGTGTATCCGGACAAGTCCCAAGATGAGAAGGGTATGCAGAGATTCTTTAAACAGTTCTCATTTCCGGGGGGCATTGGTTCGCATGCGACCCCAGAGACGCCGGGATCTATTCACGAAGGTGGTGAATTGGGATACTCGATTTCTCATGCCTTTGGAAGTGTCTTTGACCATCCCAACCTCATTACCTTGACAATGGTCGGGGATGGAGAGTCGGAAACCGGACCACTTGCGACTAGTTGGCATAGCACTAAATTCCTCAACCCATGTACAGACGGAGCCGTCCTTCCTGTACTCCATCTCAACGGATACAAAATAAATAACCCAACCGTCCTTGCTCGCATCAGCCACGAAGAGCTGAAGGCGTTGTTTGTGGGCTATGGATGGACACCTTATTTTGTGGAAGGCAATGAAAGAGAAACCATGCACCAAGCAATGGCAGCTACACTGGAACACTGCGTTGTAGAGATCAAAAAAATTCAAAAGCAAGCAAGGGAGTCAAAGAAGCCATTCCGACCCCGCTGGCCGATGATTGTTCTCCGGAGTCCCAAAGGGTGGTCGGCTCCAAGAGAGATTGACGGAAAGCTGCTTGAGGGCTTTTGGCGCTCTCATCAAATCCCGATAACTGATGTCCTGACGAACCCTGCCCACCTGAAGCTACTTGAGACGTGGATGAAGAGTTACAAGCCCGAGGAGCTTTTTGACAAAGATGGCAAGCTCGTTGCAGAGCTGAAAGCGCTCGCGCCCTCAGGCAATTCTCGTATGAGTGCTAACCCTGTCGGTAACGGCGGTATACTTCGCAGGCCTCTCCAACTGCCGGATTTCCGGGACTATGCTCTCAAAGACATTGACCCCGGCGTTTCTGTACGCGGGAGCATGACAAATATGTCAAAGTATCTGAGGGATGTGGTCAAAGAAAACATGACCACCTTTCGTGTGTTTGGTCCGGACGAAACAGAGTCAAACAAGCTTGCAGAGATCTACAAAGCTGGCAAGAAGGTTTGGCTGGGGGACTACTTTGAAGAAGACAAAGACGGAGGAAACCTGGCCTTTGAAGGTCGGGTAATGGAGATGCTCAGTGAACATACCTGTGAAGGTTGGCTGGAGGGCTATGTGCTTTCTGGTCGTCATGGTATACTAAACAGCTACGAGCCTTTCATCCATGTCATCGATTCGATGGTCAATCAGCACTGCAAATGGATTGAAAAGTGCTTAGAAGTGGAATGGCGTGCAAAGGTTGCGTCTCTCAATATCCTCCTGACTGCGACCGTCTGGAGACAGGACCACAATGGCTTCACCCATCAGGATCCTGGGTTCCTGGATGTTGTTGCAAACAAGAGCCCGGAGGTGGTTCGAATTTATCTGCCACCCGACGGGAACACGCTTCTCTCAGTTATGGATCACTGTTTCAGTAGTGTCAACTACGTTAATGTGGTTGTGGCTGACAAGCAAGAACACATCCAATTTCTAAGTATGGATGAAGCCATTGAACACTGCACCAAAGGCCTTGGGATATGGGACTGGGCTAGCAATGATCAAGGCCAAGAGCCCGATGTTGTGATGGCTGCATGTGGAGATGTGCCCACCCACGAGGCTCTCGCCGCAACGGCGTTGTTAAACGAACATCTTCCCCAACTCAAGGTCCGCTTTGTCAACGTAGTCGATTTGTTCCGGCTCATCAACGAGAAAGACCACCCGCATGGCATGCCCGACCGACAATGGAAGGCTGTGTTTACCGACAATAAGCCGATCATCTTCAACTTCCATTCGTACCCTTGGCTCATACACCGTCTAACCTACAAGCGACCAGGACAACAGAACCTGCATGTGAGAGGGTACAGGGAAAAGGGCAATATCGATACTCCGTTCGAACTAGCCGTCCGGAACCAGACCGACCGCTACAGTCTTGCTATCGATGCCATTGACCGTGTAGGATCCCTCGGCAACACGGCGTCTCATGTCCGAGAAAAGTTGATCAATCAGCAACTCGCTGCTAAGCAAGTGGCATATGACAATGGTTTAGATGCAGAATACATCCGAAACTGGAAATACCCTAAGAAGGCATAAAAATCATGAAGACATTCAGGAAAGGGTGGGAGCAAATATAAGGATATCAAGGATACTGAAGTCATGGGGAGAAGGGGGGTGACGGGAATAGTCAGTGATATTTTTGGATCCTGCTGGGACTATTGTTTTGATAAGCAGCGTACGCGTTCCTGAAGCAAGAATGAAACCATGTCGGATAACCTGCGTTCATGTGCAGTGTGAATTTAAGGGGCAGATGATCGTCAGCGGTTGCATATGTAGGATGTCGATGATCGTCTGCTATGCAGGAAACCCAACCACGCAAATTCCAGATCGTTTCATATTCGAAGTTCGATAAGTAGGTCAAGGTCCTATACGACAATCTCAATCCTGAATAGAGTTCTGGAAGGTAGGAACAGTATAATGCCATCGGGTAATTCCAATGGCAAAATTCAATTTATCCAGGGCTGATGATGCCCAAGGCCCCGCCGGCTGATATCAAATTCGACTAAGCAATAGGGTTACTGCCTATTTAGGCAATGCCCATGCAGTTTAGGTCCGAGTTAGAAGTCAAGGTCTATATTAACACCAGCCGTATCTGACCGCTCAGCTGCGTTGTCAAGCTCCATAATCTACCTGGGTCGAGCGATGTGCTTGGACAAGTCTTCGGAATTCACAATTGACGTGATCCACGCCATGATTTTGAATGGATCGGCCGACCCACCTACCCTCAAAGTCGGGCAAATGCTATACGCGCAAGCCCTCAGTAAGGGCGTAGTGGATCATGGCCGATGATCCACCGCGCCATGCAAAAATCTTCAAAATCTTATCGGTTTGTGGATCCTTTGTACCTTTGCCACGACAATTTGTGGTGCTTTATCATATGCCCTGGATTCTGGTTTCCGATAGTAACATATATAGCCCATCGTCGCTCAGCTACGGTAGCGATACTTTGTAGATTGCCGGAAATTTCTTATACTGCACAAGGGAAAGCTGCTCGTCTCAGTCTTTGTTAGTTAGATCGCAAGTTAATTTCATTTCTACCGAACATTACTTGGAAAAAAGAAAAAAAAAAAGAAACCGAATCACTATTGGCATCCACCTCGCAGAGGTGTAGTTGTCAAGATGCAACCAGGGCAACATCAAGAACCTAACTCGACGCCGGTCGACGACGTAAATGCTCCAACGGTTGCTACCATTCGCAACGATGGCTTCGATTCTGCTCCGCTGTCCACCAGGTCCTCGTTCTCGTATAATAACAGAACGGCCTCAACTCCTGCCACGGGCGCGCAGACCCCGGATCCTCTCCTGGGACCCAAGCCTGTCAATAACGAGGACCTGCTGAAAAAGCTACCGACAACGATTACTCAGGCAGCTGAGAGTGGAGATGAATTTGAATTAGAAGAGAGGAGAGGTCGAGCAGCAGCGGTTGATGGGTTGCATAACCGGCGACCATCCGCCATCCGTGGCCGTGATATGGCAGATGAGTCGGCATCGCCACCCCCAAAGCCATCGCAAGGACGTCCTACCGAAATACCAAGCTTTACAGCAGAGATCGTTCTCGTCCTCGTCTGCTCGGCAGGTCTAATGCTATTTTCATTCTTGCTTGGAAACATGTTGGTGGTGCAGTTGCAGCTGAAGAAAGCTCTGGGAATCGGAAATACCTCGCTCCCATGGCTCGTAGGGGCCTACGCTTGCTCCAACGGGGTGTCAGTTGTTGTATCGGGCTCTCTACTGGATTTGACCCCACCTCGGCGTGCGATCGTGGGCGCATTTGCATGGCTTACTATTTGGAACGTGGTCGGCGCCTTTTCCCTTGATCCGTCACGAGAGGTTTTGTTTTTCATTGTAAGAGCAATGCAAGGACTGGCTATTGGTGTTTTGGTTTCCGGCTCAATGAGCGTTCTTGGACGCCTCTATAGCCCTGGTATACGCAAGAACCGTGTCTTTGCTGCTATCAGCGCTACAGCGCCGTTAGGATTCAGTTTGGGGGCCATAGAAGGTGGTCTTCTCCACGGAAACCTTCCCTGGATCTTCGGTGTGAATGCCATTATCACTGGTTTGTGTGCTGTCGCTGCATTCTTCTCGATTCCTCCTCTCCGCCCAGTTGCCGACGTGGAAGGCGCAGAAGCACCCACTCTGCGCCAGTTCGATTATATTGGAGCCCTGTTTGCCATTGCTGGCTGCGTCTGTCTCCTGTTCGGTTTAACCCAAGGGTCAGTCACTAAATGGTCGGTCTATACGTGCGTGCTAGTGGCACTAGGCATTGTTTTTCTTATTTGTCTGTTCGTCGCGGAACGATATGTGGCGCGGCCATTGATTCCCAGTCGTCTGTGGCGGACGAAAGGCTTTACTCCCCTTATGGTTGCCTACTTCTTAGGATTCGGTTCATTTTTCGGCGCATGGCAGTTCTATGCCATTCAGTTTTGGTTGAGAATTCAACATGCGACTCCTATTGCCGTGGCACTATACCACATCCCTAATGCGATTGTCGGCATCATCGCCACTTTCATCGTCAGCCGCATCCTGCATCTGGTTCCCGGTCATTATATTTATATAGTATCCATGTTTGCATTCACCCTCGGACCGGCTTTCTTTCTTCCGCAAACTCCAAATACGACTTACTGGGCCTTATCTCTTCCCGGCGTAGCCCTTGTGACGTTCGGACCAGATATGGCTTTCGCCGCTGCCTCCATCTTCATCACGAGCAATGTTCCTCGATCCTATCAAGGAAGTGCAGCCAGTCTATTAGTCACAAACCAGAACCTCTCCTCGGCGATTATCACAAGCATTGCCGACGCGATTGGAACTAAAGTCGATCCGAGTCCAGATGGGGATGTAGGCCTGACTGGACTTCGGGCCATTTGGTGGTTTGCGTTGGCATGCCAGTTACTAGCTGCGCTGGTAACTGTGGTCTGGGTGAGAATTCCAAAGGAAGAGGAAAAGGAGCATGTCACTTGATATTTGTTACGGCCCAGCTTCCCCTGCATAAAATTGTTGCTTTTCTTCGCTGCTTTTACAGTATACGATATATCCCCATGCTATAGATCTTGACTTCACGACAGGTACGACAAGTTACTTTTCAATTACTAGTCTATAATTCTGCCACTAGAAGCCAACTAATGGTAGACTCATTTGGTGCTTGCAATTATTCGAGCTCAGTTATTTCAAAAGTCAACTATAAATAGGATTTAAAATATATCATTATTTAAAAATGTATATAATAAGCCTCAATAATATCCCATTTCCAACATTACATGATCTTATAGTAGATATCTAAGCTCTGGTTAATTAGGCAGACTAGAACTATGGAGTAGAAGTACTTATATAGAAGTAAGAGTATATAAATTTCCCTGCCTTGCCCAAACTTTAGTATATGCATAGACTGCCATTAGCACCACCGAAAAGTGCAAAGAAAAACAATAAAAAAAATTAACACCAAGCTAAGGGAAGATTCTTCACACGCTAGGTAAAATCTTGGCCCTCTCAGTCTCAGAACAACCTCCAGCTGACGGTTAATTCCTGACCGCTAATCCACGAATTCACGTTTCCTCTCGGAAATACCCGAGTGGTCGAACTCGGCATTAGTAAACAGCATCCGGAGTACACAGTACTCTAAAGACGGAAAAAAGCAGAGGCTAATAATGTGTAGAACGCGGGTATTCTACTCCCTGCGAATATTCTAGTACGCCGAACATTGATCGCGGTATGTTTTCCTTCCTCGGCATCCCGAGGTCGGAATTACCGATTTTGGATATCCCTATCGAATCCTAACCTCCATGTGTTTTACGGATTACTGCGCCATACGTGATAGCAGTGCATAGAATTATACGCTGGAATGTATTCCCTTATGTACAGCGAACAATGTGTTGCTATTGCCGTAAACTTTGGTTGGCAAGACCTATCCGAGAAGCTTAATTTATTACGAGAATGATGAGGAACAGATGTATCATCAAAACCTTCAATATAGCTTTGTATAGGCGTACTATGTCGGAGGTAAATGAACCGTTTCTATTAGTTAGGTTTGGTCATCTTGTATTACGGTTAATCTTATTGGGCTTATCTTAGGCCTGATGACTTAGTCTTGCTCTCCACACCATCCTTTCGTCTGAAGAAGAATTTCGCCTAATATCATAGGTATGAATATAAGAGATCATTACAGTGAATCAAATGACAAGTAGCTAGTCTAGAGTATTACTCGGTGCCATTCTCCTAAATACTGTGTTACCACGTCTTGTTCATCTGTAATCTGCAATTCAAGCACCCCGATTATTATATTTACTTCAGCACTCCCTGGCCCATTGATGGCTGTTTATAAATCATCTTCCAGTGGTGTGATCTTTACTGTGCTTCATATATCTCCCTTCTCTACAACCGGGATTCATCAAGAGCTTCTCCATGTTTCGGGTATCCTATCTGACATATGACATCTACTAATCTTTAATTTCTGCTGCCGACTCACTTTTCAGGTGCTGAACCCTTTTATTCTATTTAAGCAAATAGTCTTTCCCTCTAGCTGACCATATCCTATTCATTGTTGGTCTACTCAGTAATCATCGGTATGTTGTGTAGTGGGTGGAGTGGCAGTGCGTTGGCGTCTTGTGTTTCAGGGTATGAATGAAAAAGAGGTCATATAGAAATTTACATACCAATTCAAGAAAAAATCACTCGAGTACAAGCTATATTGCTCTGTTTCCATTGCGCTTTCATCAAAGTGTTGATTGGCTTAACAAGTACAGACCTAAAAGCCGTTTCTCGCTGTTCGACACTGCGAAGTCATGGCTTTGCTGTCTTCGTTGGAGTCTGGCTCGGGTCTCTTCTTGCTTTTACTCTGCTCCCTCCTCATTCATTATTCTCATACTCACTAACCACTACAGCCAAGGTCATCATCCTACAGATATTTTCACCGTAGACTGCGTTTCAAAATTGTTACTATAACATGTGATCAAGAGCGCTGCTTCCTGGCCTCTGTCTCGTCTGTTCATCGTGTAATTCCAGGATGACCAAGAATCTTCCTGGTAGAGGTACAGAGAAGCGGTAGACCAAGAACAACCGCATAATCTCAGCAGACCCTCAGCTTAGCGCATATATCCCGAACTCTGATGCTCTGCCATCACCGGTTACAAGCGGACCGAGTTTCGGCTGAGACAGACGAACATCAATAGTGAAGCGAGGCTAAACGTGGGTTAAAATGGCATACTCTGCCCATCGGGGTGGCACTTATTCTGCATAATAACCGTCATACTGCCTAACCTCGGCTTATCGGTTATTGGATCGCGGCTCAGCAAGACTGGTTTACCATGTAGGGCTGGGGGGGAAAGCGGGTCCCAAGTCTATTCCACGGTTATACGTGGGACGCACAAATGCTGCAGATGTCTATGCGCATGGCCCATGGCCTAGTTGGAGAAGAGTCTAGACTACAGGTTCGAACGTAGCTTTGTACCCGCACGAGAAGCTGCCAATCTCCTCAAAACTATGTGCGAAACATCCCCCACACTAATCCCACTGCTAGTCGGCGTACTGGCCATCTAGAATTACAAGAAAATGACACGTCACCACCTTAGAAGCTCTGGCTGTATCTATATTTCTAGTATTTTGATGGGCAGCAACCAGCGCGGTGTACTTCACTCATCGACATATCCGACCCGCAAATCGAACCGCTAACCCCGTTATATTCCGCTCTCATTCCGCTGGGAACCCGCTATGGCGGAAACTACAGCGGAAGTTCTTAAAAGAACTTCCACTCCTGCTGTAATAAGAACAAGGTTAAGCTTCAAGGTTAAAGAACATACGCTTAGTGGTTACTATAATCTAGCTAGTGTACTTCTTGTCGGTCTGTGCGCTGCTTGTTGCTGAACAGACCAAATTACTTTTGAAAAGTCCCGCTAGAGGATGGCCCTGATTCCTGCTGATAGCGACGCCGCTTATTGCCTCCATTCCAGTACACTCTTAAATAGGGATATATCAATTACATTGTGTGGTTGAAACGTTCGGTGGGATGATATATCTTATTTTAGGGTTAGGCGGGATCTCTTAGGATTCTAAGTAGTAGTGACATCTATGAGTCCCGCATTAACCGAACCCGAAGTTGCTAGATGCGAGCGGGTAGGACTTTCGGGAAGTACATGACTTGAGGCTTCAAATTGAGTTTTTCAAATGGCAGGTAGAGGGGATTGAGGGGCTTAGTCGAGCATCCAGGCTTATGAGAGAACAGATGGCAAAGGACCGTGCCCAAACTACTGACAATTAAGCTCTCGGGCATATGGAGCTGAGTATGGAGAACCAACATGTAACCATTGGCGCTTCACTTGATAGTCGATTCCTGGAAGGCCGAGGCAACTTGCCACCATGAAATGTATCCTACTGAAAAATGCGGATCGATCCCGCTCTCCCTTTTGCCACTTGCTCCAGATCTCGAATGCGCTGTGAGTTAAGACAATGTACGGGCTCTTTTGCAACAGCAAGCAATCACTCGTGCATTCGTGGATGGATGGATGGATGGATTGGGCTTATTTGGCTTCACGAAATGCCGCCTGTGGCCCCCTGTATCAAGAACGCATGGCAGGATTTATGTCCCCTGCTGCAGCTTACCCTGAACGTGGGGAAGGTTCAACTATCGATAACTCTAATTCAGCTCTCATCCATTAAAATGCTTCGAATACAGCTCAAAATTGAGCTATCCCCGCATTTCTCTCCGCGATACCCGCATAAAGCGGATCCTTGTTGACTAGATCGGCATGAAGGTCGGCATTAGCCATACAGAGATGTTAGATGATGATGTAGCCTAAACCAAGAAATATGGGGTAAGTTGATGGACAATCCAGGTATATATAGCTTCACGGTAGGCCTAGAATTGCTTGAACTACAGCAATCCCCAAGATCTAGTCACTGCCCGTGCCACATCCCTAATCATGTCCAGCGGTGATATTAGTGAGAAGCATGACATCGACACTCTTCGGCCAATTCGAACAGCCGAGAGTGTCTTTCTTCCTGTCTCCCGCGATGTATTCGAAAAGCTATATCTGAGCCCCAAGCATCCCTCGGTAAAAGGTGACTTGCGTAAGCAAGTAGGCAACCCTACTCCAATATCACTTATCGGGTTTCTGGTAGCTGCCACCCCAAACGCCTTTATAACAATGGGCATCAGGGGAAGTGGCGAGAATGGCGCCGCAATATTGTGAGTACATGACAGTCTGTGTTACTACTTCTCTCTGGAGGCTCACAGCGACACAGGCCCGTGTTCATCTTCTTTGGTGGACTGATACAACTTTTGGGCGGTATTGGAGAGTGGATTATCGGGAACACATTTTCATGCGCTTTGTTCTTTACCTACGGTGCGTATCGCAGGTTTCTAGTCCTGCGGCTGCCCACAACTGACTTCAAGAAGGCACATTTTGGATCGTACAAGGGACCGGCCTCATGCCCCTATTTGCAACAGGGCTTCACTACTCACCAACTGGCAATGCACTGGAGGGAATGCAAACTCCATCATATCACGCTACTCTCGGTGTGTACCATCGCTAACATTCTGTGGAAGCTGTAGCGTCACTAACCAGTTATACCATTAGGGTTTTACTACATCGCCTTGACGATTCTCACCTTCGTATACACAATCTGTTCAATCCGAACTAACATCTGCCTTTTCACCGCTCTGTTCCTCCTTGTTATCACATTTTCTTTATTCGCAGCCACCTACTTCCAGCTGGCGCTGGGAGAGATCGCTCTTGCTTCTCGACTTCAAATGGTGTGTTTCATTCGCTCCTCCTCCCCCATCTCTCACACTAACATACTCTATGTGCAGGCGGCAGGTGCATTCAGTCTCGCTCTAGTCATACCAATCTGGCATATCTTCATCGCGCAAATGTTGGAAGCAGTGGACTTTCCCATTGCGATACCGGTGGGTGATTTGAGCACGGTAATACTGGGAAGAAGTCAGAAGATCCAGATGCGGGCGGAGGAGTAGCTCGGAGCGTCTTTGGTGTGAAAATTCAGGGATATGAGTGATACAACTCTCGGCGGGGGGCGTCGAGCTCAGGAGTATGAGATACCATTGAATATACTGGAATTGTCGAGAAACCACAGCGCTGGCGTGTTACTCTCACGATTCAAGTTTGTTCTTTCACGTCCTTTCACATAGGTGTATATGTATTGGCCTCTGAAGGCTATGTGTAATAAGCAATGAACATATGTAGCCGTAGCAATAGTGGATACTAGGAAATTGCTTAGGGCTGCCCACATGCCCGGGCGTCCATTGTATATGATCATTCTGATTATTGCTCACTTTATCCGTCACAAGTGATCTCAATTAGTTTTGTAAACTCGAGGGCTGTACTTATCTTCGGCTGGTTGGCCTTCAAAAGGCGGGAGGCTTTTCCTTCGAACTACACACATGGCGAAGGCCGATACTGGGCTCTTGATAGTTTAATTATGAGTTTCTTTACTTATAAAGTTCAGGGGAGGAGCTAGGAGCACATGGATATGAGCAAAAAAGAACGTCAGCGCGGAACTTGAGGTTGAGCCGGTTCTTCAATATCGTGCTGGTTATACGGGGTTCTAGTCCGTATGTGATCTGCTGATCTGTTGGAAAAGCAATCTATGTTTGAATTTTACGGAAGAGCACAAGATTATCACATGGTCAAGGCAGCCCTGTTATGTACTCCAAAGTATACATTCAATTAAGCTATGGACACAAATCAGAACAAAAGCCCAGCGGCGGGGCTCTAAGATGTAGAATATTAACATGTATATCTGCCTGTATTGAAAGTGGCTGTCAAGGAATGTCAAGCATTTGCGGCAAGAAATACGCTAATTCAAGGGTATATGTCAAAATAGCCCTCCATCCCCATGTCAACCGTTTATTGCGGTGGCGCACACTACTGCCATCGACATTTAAGCACGAATAGCGAAAGGACCGGCGGCATTGAAGAGAGTAGGCATCTGTGGGGCATCGTTCAAACTAGTGGAGAGACGGAGATACCAAACACTGTCGTCCGCAACGGTGCCGAGCTTCTCCTGAGACGGGATGGCGATCGTGACAGCACCATCCTTCTCGGGGATGTCGTGCTGCCTAATCGGAATTTCCTTGTCGAACTTGATAGTGTCCAGGTTTCTAACAGGGTTGTTGTAGAGGTAGAGGGTATAATTCGAGCCTTTGTAATTGACCAGAGACTCGCAGGTCTTGGACTTGCGGTCGAACTTGATGTTGATCTCGGCGCCGGGAGCGACAGTCGAGTTGTCGGGGATGCCCTGGAAGACGTTGACACAGTTGTAGTCGCGTTTGCCCCAAGCTATACTTCATCTTAGTTATCCTGGTTGGGAAGTGAGATGGAACGATAACATGATCACTCACGTTGGTTCTTGTCGAACGCAGCGGCACTAACGGCCAGGAGGGCAGTGGAAATGGCAGCAGAGATCTTCATTTTTGGCAGCGACACTGAGAGTTAATGGGCTTTCTCTTCGTGATAGAGTCTGGGTGAGTTGGTCAATTTTAGGAGGGGAGTGCCAGTCGATTTATACTTCTGGGGCCGCATCCCCAAAATTAAGGAAACAAAATCCGGGACAAGCCTCGCGTCCAGCTGGAGACTGCTCTCATGACATCAGACGTTGGGGGCAAAGGGTTAATTGGTTATGTCTCAGGGGACTTCTTGACGAGGAGACGATGTGGGTTTCTCCTGGACTTGGCACATCAATTAACGGGCGATCATTACCCCGTGTGTCTGTCTCGGGCATCTCGGATCGAAATGTCTCACTCGTATAGGCCCTGCCCAGGAGCCGAGCCCTCAATAATCGTTTCGCAAATGATGGTAAAGGCGATGTCGCTGAGCTTTGGGGAGTAGTCTAAATATAGCATCTTCTCGATCGGTGATAGAGAACAGACTCATATATCGTGTGATTTCTGCACCCGTCGTATTAGCGCCACCGCAGTCGGTTAGCTGCAGCGATAATTTGTCTTGTTTTGGAGGCTAACAACTTGAGTCAATTGTAAAAGAATCCGAACTCCAATCATTCCTGAACCAAGTCTTCAGTGTGGACTAATCGACATACTACCAAAATGCACACCATTGGCCTTCGCGACACATACAAACTGGGAGTCAGGGCACACTCGGGGTTTGGACATGTGCAGATAGCCACCGCATTGCCACCTCGTGTTGTAGCCTTGGCCTGTTCGTTCGAGAGTGTCCATCGACTCCTGGCATTGAACAAGGGGCTTGCATGAAGAACAAGCCAAATATAGCCATTATGGCGGGCAGGTATAGCATTTGCCAAATTACTTTGGCATATAGTTTCCGTAATGTTTTACTTTCATGCGCTGGTGTACGTAGCTCAGCTCCACTTCTATATTATGGACTGGGCAAAGGAGCCAGGAGCCAGCGGTAATTTTGAAGCAACTGATAATGTAAACAACATAATTCTCCTCGGATGCTCTGTGGAGTGATTGTGAGCACATATAAAGCCCGAAACCGGAACCCATAAAGTCATGACTTACTTCGCCATTCAAGGGAATATAGTTATCCCTTGGTATGAATTGAGAATGTCTTGTGCTGATCAGAAGTAAGCCTAATTGAGCTTGGCTCAATGTGACATGTAGCTTGTATAGTTTATAAATACGATGAGGCGCCGGATTTATTAAGAGTACGCATCGAGTTGCCCATCGTAAAAGCAATAAAAGCCATATTTATCTCTTTTAGCATAAATAATGAAGGACTGTTGCCGACAAGGGCTGACTACCGCTGTTCAATGGTAAGCTGTTGCGATATATTGATAAAGTAGGAAATGCTATGGAAAAGCAAGGCTTATGCTAGTGCCACATGATAGTTATGAGGTATCCTGTAATCTTTCCCTTCGCTAGTCCATGAATTATTATGCATGGTAGGCTTAGGCAACCAAGCCTTAAATTGCCATATACAAACGTAGATCAGACTTTTATCCATTCCATCGGATAGGAGGAATTACTTCGCTTTTATACTCAGTCATAGACCAATAGTAGCAGATATGCAAATGTGTTCACGATTCTTTGCAACAGAAGCTGTCGCCTGTATCCTTATTTACAATACAATAACATGAGTATATGCAATTACATGGCCGGCTTGGGCACTTGATCTCAAGAAGTAAGTGCAATATAGTTTCACATATTATCTGGTGGCCCCTACTAAGTCCGATTTTGAATCCGTCACGACTGAGGTTGGTTTATGATACCTTGCATAAGGCTAATGCCTCAATTTGCAGCTTTTATGTGGAGGCAAGCGGCTTCTTCTGCAGGATCTGGGTAAAGGCCTGAAGGGCGGTTTCCGGCTCTGCACTCATTAGCAATTTATATCGGGTTATGGGAAAAGGTAAACGCTGTGTACTTACGGTAGTAGGGAACTTCGTGCCCCGCATCGGCTACCGTCAGGAGATGGAAGTTGTCGACAGACTTGAACTGTCCAGTTTCCTTTCCGTTGACCTTGTAGGCCTCAAGGGCCTTGCCCTGGAATTCGTCGTGTCCGGGGAAATCAACTGCGTTTGCCACAGCAATGCTTCCATCGACGTTGCAGATATAGTCTGCCGTGCCTGCCCAGACAAGAACGTTGACTCCTGCCTTGATGACCTCAGACAAGTCTGGGAGGGTTGAACGGTATTCTACTCAAGTTAGATCCTGCAGCCAGAAGCAGAATCGAGATACTGACCGTCTCCGGTAGCACCGAATTTCCGGCCGGGCGCATTCGCGCATTCCTGGTAATCCGACCTCGCACCGATTGCCTTCACTACGTCGGGCCTTGTGATGTACGTGGAGTATGTCGATGGCGGGTTGGGATCGTCGGATGGCTCTCGTATATCATAGACATTAAAGTCACCACCGGCTTGCATGATGGGACCCTCGACTGTCTCTCCGCACACCGAGCCAGCGTTCTGGCAGTCCTCGTCGGTTTGAGTTTGCTGGCATTTCTGAACCGCTGGACGGCATTCAGACTCGTAAGCCTCCAGAAGCTTGTCTTTCAACGACTCATCAATGAGTTGTCTGTAGGTGTTGTTGTATGCAAACGTGATGTAAGCCTTCTCTTGGAGTGTTGAGTCGAACATGCCATTGTTTATTCCCAGAGCAACCAAGTTGACTTTTTCTCCTTGTTGACTGCCCGATTCGATAGCCTTATTCTGATCCAGAATATAGGAAGCGAAGCCAGGGCCATAGTGACCGCCATATGACTTGCTCAGTCAGCATCAGTGCCCACGCGCCGTACATTAATTGAATTTCTCACCTCGGTGAAAATGCCAAAGTCGCGGCTTTCGTACTGTGGAAAATGCTCATAGAAGGCCTGGAGGAACTTCCAAACGTATGGAGCAGCAGTCCACGTGCTATTAACGGGGTTGTCTCCATACGAAAAGCCTACCCCGATAGGCTGGTCAATGTAGAGCATATTGGCAAAGTTGTTCCAGCTATGTTCATTCAAAGATGGAGTCTCCTCGCCGTTGACGAAGTGGCAGGGTCCATTTTCCTGGAACAATCCGATCATGGAAGAGCAGCCGGGGCCACCGTTGAACCAGGCAGAGAGAGGTGCATTTTGCGGGTTGTTACGGCTCTCGAAGAACCTAATAATCCGTCAGATGCCTCGTACAACTGGGATAAGGATCAGGGGAGCCCATACCAAAAGAACATATTCTGATTCTCTCCGACACTTAAGTAGCCGCTGTACTGATTCACGCCTTTGGTGGTCTCACAAATACCAGAGTTGTTGACATATTCCAACCTGGCGCCAGTGGGAGCATGTTCAAAGACGTTGTAAGTCACTCCGCCTTTCCTGACGTGCGACGCTGTTGTGCCAATCTTAGCACCTTTCGGCAACGCCTGAACGCTTCCTGCAAGTGCCAATGGCAGCAACCACGCGGTGCTTGAGAACCACATTCTAGCAAGCAGAATAAGAGCACTTGGGAAACCAACAAACGAGGAGGTTGGTGGTTAGTTTTCTCTCGTCACACTGGAAGGAGGATTTTAGACCTGGGATGGTCTCACTTTATATACATGGGAGGCGACGCTCAGATGCTTCACGGCTTGCATGCGACAGAAGAGGGGAACGAGACATCACTATCAACCGACCGAAGTTCCGTCGAAGGTTGCCTAACGGGTGAAGATCAATCCTTGGCTTAAAGCTTCAATCCAGTTGGATAAGAAAGGTGCATGGCCATGTTACATCGTGGCCTTCGAGTAGCTAACATAAGCTACTCTGCTACGATCACCGGCGGCTTGTTCCTGGGGACATTTCCCAAAGGGGCAATGTTGCTGCCGATTCTGGTGGAGTTCTTGAAAGCCCTCATCCGAGTGGACAACCCATCTCCCCTGTAATTGATTTAGTCCCCTGTAGATCTCCAGTCAAGCCGTCGGGGGTCCGACCTTAATCGTTCCTCTTTAATATGGAGCCTTCTGCAATTCCTCTGATGTATGACGATATCGACAGTACATGCAGATAAATCAGTTGGTGTGGTACTCGTTCACCTGCGGCATCGCGGACAAAAGCATTCCTGCTGAACATTATTCAGAGTGTCCTATTACTCGATAAATGGACGTATCTTCGCGACTCACTCCTAGATCTCTCAGTTTAAGAAGGGTATGAACATGTTCAGGTGGGGTAACGGTGCTGTCAGTCTTCGTCATGGGATGCTCACAAGGTTCTCGACACGATTCTTGAACATCCAGCGCAACAGAGTACTCAATCGGGTACCTGGCACCAGACCCAGCCGGAGATTGGTGTCATGGGATACCTTGAAAATGAAACCCAACCCCGAGGAACATTTGACAATCCCACAGTTGGCTTATCATCCTTGGATTTCATTGTTTGAGAAACTGGAGGCTACATGGCGATGTCCGGTGGTGGTGTTACTCAATAAGTCCACCTGCAGCAAGGGAGTTAATTTAATACTAGTAGTAGTATAAGTCCTGACGATTCCACTGCATATTCCTCACTTGAACGAAGGGCACAACTCGTGACTGTTTCGCTGAAAACACGTGGGCAGTGTCCAAGTCGAAACTGTCAGTCACCCGACCGTCTTCTTTGAAGTAAAGCTTTTGTTTGAATTGACAATAAATGAAGCGCTGCAACAACCAACGAGCCAAGTGGTCGAGCAGTAACTCGATCAATCTCATCTTCCTTGGTCTAACGGTCATGATTTCCGCTTGTCATCCCACAAGGAACAAGCGCGGGAGACCGGGGTTCGACTCCCCGAGGGAGAGATTTTTTTGTATTTGTTCCATGCATCTCTGTAACCAAAAGATTCGGTTTCGTTTTACCCCTCTTTTTCATTTTCAAACGTTGCTATGCTACTGTATGAAATTTATCTCAGCTGTAAGTATCCAGTCAAAGCAATGCTGAAGTCTAGAATATGCCATGGCAACCCGGTTCCTAAATATAGTGTTTCTCTCATGGCTAAGAGCTTTGGCGGCTTGTGCCACAGCAGCAACACTTTGAAAAAGTATCTTATTGTTGAATCTATATAACAGCAGGGATGACCCTCGGGAATAACTTGGAATTGCATCTTCAGTCCAACACCTCAAGGCCTACAACCAGAAGACTGTTCACTAGGTTTCCATCATGAAACACCGAAATATCGTTGGTGAATCTCCAGAGAGATGCGACCAATACACGCAATGTCATAGACAGTACAACTTGACAAGTAGTCTATCGGGGTACGCCTTTGTGCATACTTCCGAATTCTCACTGGGCGAAGCGTAAAGCAATGCCCACTCGAGCATTATAGTCTCTTGTCACACAATAACACACCTCCTTGTCAGTTTTTGGCCTCCAATTCGACTTTGCTCTGCAATGATGAGAAAGCCTTGCATAAACTTGCACCTTGCGAGTCATTTTAGATTATCCCTGGCCTCATCAGCCGTGAAACGTGTCAGCCTTGTCTGGTGTCCAAGTAGTGGGGGGTGTACATCGCTGTTACACGTGACCTCCACATTCACTTTCCTACAGCATGAGCAACTCTTGCGACGCGCTTTTTTTTTTTCATTTATGCATTCAGCTTCATTGTACCAAGAGAGCCTGAGAACTTAAGAGCCTGAGATGTCGAAGAAATCAGGGATCAAGAAGCAGCCCACGCACCTGAAATCTGATATACGTCAAGCTATCAGGGATATGTATTCGAAGAGGGGCCAGGTCGACAAGGAAGCAATCAAATCTAGGTTTCTTGCCAAGTACCCAGATCAAGCGAGTCGTATTAACCAAGTCGTGGTCGAGTAAGTCGAGCCACTTCATTCTTTGGGTGCTGGCGTTGATGTCAGACTTAGCTATGCTTTCTCTCTGCAGCAGCGTAGTGGAAAGGATGTAGAGACACAGTCTGAGCCGTCAAAGACCTACAACCATCAAAATGAGGGAGAGAATAAGGGAGCAGATGATGTAAGTAGAGTACATTATCCCCACTAAACCAGGTTGGTGAGAGGAATATGGTTCTAACAGATACCAGGCCACAAGATGTGACAGAAAAGCGAGCCCAGAGAAAGACATAAGCAACGACATTGTGAACAAAGAGAAGCAGAATGGCCATGCAATTTTACAAGGTCTGACAGTCATTATTTCTTTCTTGTTTCTTCTAACAGTTTATAACAAGTAATGCAGACTTCCAGGATTACCTTTCGGTCAATAATCGAAATGGAAGTGCGTCGTGTTCCACCTCATCGACCGTGCCTTCTCTGGAAAACCAGATGTGCTTCCTGAAGCCTAACGATCAAGATGACTGTATTACCAAGGACCAGAATTATACTATTGCCCAGAACGCGATTCTGATATCCTCTATTGCAAGTGTTATGCCACCTCAATTTGCTCTTATGGGTGGATTAAGGGCTCGGCAATCAGTGTTACCCCCGGATCCTAGAGTTATGCTAAACACAAACGTACCATTCTCGGCCTTTATATGCGGGGTCCAAGGCAGCGGAAAGTCTCATACCACAAGCTGCATAATCGGTAACATCGACATTTGGCGTGCATCTTTGCATAAGGCTAACCTCGATGTTAGAGAATTGCTCCTTGTCATTGCCCATTTTAGGAGCTCTGAAGCAGCCACTCTCCACACTGGTGCTCAACTTCAATGAGTACAGTTCGAATGTTAGTGCCCAGCCGTGCGAAGCTGCATTCCTCTCTTCGGTTTTGCCGGAATGGTCGAAGCATGGACTCTCCATCCCCGTTCGAGTCCTGGTGCCTCCGTCGAATTTCCACAATCTCAAGAAAATATACTCCCAGATACCAAATGTTGATGTTCAACCATTCAGACTCAAGACACATCACTTGAATATCAGTACAATGTTATGTCTTATGTCCATCGGAAAGGATAGCCAAATGCCCTTATACATGAGCCAGGTAGTCAGAGTGCTCCGTGAAATGGCTATTGAAAACAAGGGAGGAACTTTTGATTATCTCGATTTCAGAAGACGTCTAGAGGATCTCAAGCTAGACCGCATGCAAACACCCTTTTTACATCAGAGATTAGATCTACTTGATTCCTATCTAGACCTCAAAGAGGAGCACAATAGCGACTACTTCACCGACGGCGGCATCACTATCTTGGATTTGTCTTGCCCATTCATGGATCAGGCTACCACCTGTATCCTTTTTCGTATTGCTATTGATCTCTTCCTTCATGCCCATCCCTCGCGGGGTAAGATGATCGTGGCAGACGAAGCTCACAAGGTAAGATATACCACCCTGGCTCAGTCTATATCAATCATAAGCCTTCATAGCTATCCTAGTTGATCCATCTAACGCGACGTTTTAGTACATGAGTGAAACACCAGCGGCCAAGGACTTGACCGAGACATTCCTTAACATCATTCGCCAGCAACGCCACCTAGGGGTTCGGACCGTCATCTCCACGCAGGAGCCGACCATCTCGCCGCGGCTGATTGATCTTTGCTCTATGACAATTATCCATCGGTTTACAAGCCCTGAGTGGTATAGGACCATCAGGAAGCACGTCCCTATTGGTGACCAAAACAATAGCAGCAGTTCTGAACTATGCCTTGATGGGCTTCACGAGATCGCACGTTTGCAAACCGGGGAGGCTTTGGTTTTTGCACCCTCTGCCCACCTCCTGGATGAGAAAAGCTCTGTAATCAATGCCGCACACAAAGTTTTTAAAATGACAATTCGAAAGCGTATTACCTGGGATGGCGGAAGGACAATTTTGTGTGTTCGTTGAATTTCGATGCTTCCCCGTAAAAATACAGGACACAGGTGTCCTTGCAGTGGATTGGCGGATGGTCGATGATAGAAATATTAGATTGGGGATCGTGCCGTCTCAAGTGTGCAGATACTTAGAGCGAGATATACAGGTAGAGTGAGGGGAGTTTCGAAATTGATTATTACGATTATGAATGACAGGAAAGATCTTGGTTTGGGTGTCCTAGGCGGAATTCTAAAGACTATTATATGTTCTTCGCTTAACTTCTCTGCTAGTGAGACGATGCCAAAGCAACTCACCGGTACTTGTATCTCATCCAGGCTCCAACATACGCTCGTATCCCTTCCCGGATTGACCCAGGCAAATGCAAGGGGGCCATGCCACATACAAATAGTGTAACGAGGCAGTGCGTGACAAAAAAACTATAAAAGCTGGTTGTTTGCCCCAAAGTGCTAGGACAGTTCAATTCTTCACATATACTTCTATATTACCTACATATCATCATATAGCTGACTTATACTACCTATTTCCAAGAGTCACTTAAAACGATCACCAAGCATCCTGTCACAATGAGACCAATGCTCCTCCTCTTCCCCATATCGGTCCTGTTTGCTAGTGCACAGACTCTCCCAAAGTCTTCGGGCAGTTGCGATTCTTGTCTTCAACGCGGAGCTCTTTGCGTGTCCATCGCCGGTCCTATAGGGACCTGTTGTCCAGGGCTGGAATGCGTTACAGACCCTCATGTGTCAGATACAGGGGTTTGTAGTATCCCATCTACTTTCTCTGCGGCTGCTGATATCTAGTGAACCAACAGAATTGTCAATGATCTTAGGTTGCTCAGGATGCGTTTCGATATTAACCTTAAATACAAAGTTCTCGTTTGCGCTTGATTCGGCTCTCGTTGACTGTCATTCATGTACTGAGTGAGATGGCAAACGTTCAAAGTCTGAGAGTGTGTATGTGGCTTAGAAACCGAACCAGGCATGTCCCCGTCTGGGTGTCACTGGGTTTCAGAATACGAGCCTGCCAAAAAGAAATTAACCCTTTCCATGACTCTACTCGTACCCGTGGCCCTGTGTATGTTACGCTGTGTCTTTAGGAACATATCTTCACACGCAATTTGATCTTGGCTTGAAATTGTCGAACCAGGTCTGTCCGAACGCTGCGAAAAGGTAGCAACGGCTTTTGGCAGGCCTCTGGTGTAAAATGCATCCGCAGTACTGGACTATCAGATCAAAATGATATTTGCCATCCGGTTTGAATAATACTTGAAGAGCGCGAGCGCTGAAACAGTAGAAAAAGAAACTGATGATGGCATATCCACCAGCATATCCAGCGGTGGTTTGGTCATGATCCGTTCTTATGGCTGGATAGGGTGCTAGGGTTAAGATGCCGGTGAGACCGTGTAACCAACACAACCACGACACACGAGGTTACTGCTGATCATCGCAGAATCGAGACGGTCTTCTTGCTGTGACGTGTGGCATTGCGATCGACACCGCTGAGTTCCCTTTTCGGAAGTCAAGCGGAAATGGCACGGTTTAGGCGTCCAGCCAGCGGTGGGTTAAGGCTTCTTTTCTTCACGTTGGACCGGTAGCTATATGTGATACCCACATGGTCATGTCGCGGAGTAGATGATCGCAAAGATAACGAAGCTTGAAGCGACCAGTGTGCGCGTTTTCTGAGCCGTGCATTCGGCGAGAGAGATACTTGATAGGTAAGAATACTCCGCCTGTTAAGGTTGGAAGCGCTAATGAGGCCAATATCCAGGAGCCGACAGGCGAGCAAATAAGCCAGCAGCCCTTGCGCATTGGCGTCCAACATCCCAATCACAAGATGGGATAGACCCTACCTCCGCATCCAACACCGCTTGGCATCTTCATGGCTCTCCTTGATTGACCCAGCAGCCCAGGGATGAGACTTCCCATGACCAGTAACCCCAGACTAGGGCTGAGCTCGGCCCTATGAATGTTTAATCTCGTCCCGCCTTCAATGGTGTTATTTTAGTTGATATACCGCAATCATCTAGCCCGCGATCGCAACGCTTTATACACTGGCAGGTATCTCAGAGAGTCCTTGGAGCTTATGGCGCTTTTCCATTGTGCCCCGCCGAACACATAAGGCCTTCTCGTTCTAGTCCGTTGCCCTGTCGTAATCAGTTGCCGTGCTTTTTCGTCGTGGTACACACAGCTGAGTCTCGTCCACGGCTCCAGCCAACATGGGGAAGACGCTAGGCCTTGTAAGGGCCTACTATACAGTCGCCCTCGCTTGTACTGGCTCGTTTCTCTTTGCTTATGACACTGGAATAATTGGAGGCGTCCTCACCCTAAAATCATTTCAGAACTCATTTAGATACTCCGAGGCGCAAAAGTCAACGATCAACTCCAATTCTAACAGTCTTTTACAGGCTGGTGGTGAGTGCGCTCAAACTTCGATATATGAACTTCGACTGATGACCGCAAAGCCTTTTTCGCCTGCTTCTTCGTCTGGCCATTCACCGCCAAATATGGCCGTCGATGGTCGATCGCACTCGCCTCCCTCATCTTCTGTATTGGAGCTATCATTCAAGTGATTCCCACTCATTCAGTAGCTGCATTCTATGTCGCACGGGTAGTTAGTGGCATCGGGGTCGGGATGGCAACCGTCATTGTCCCCATGTTTACTTCTGAGATGGCTCCCAAGTCCATTCGTGGAAGGCTAGGAAGCTTCTTCCAGGGCTTTTTTGTCCTGGGAGTGTTCTTCTCATATTGGATCGACTATGCAGTAGAGAAACATATCCCTGAAACCAGTGAGAGCCAGTGGCAGATACCCATCGGGCTGCAGTTAGTGCCAGGTGGGATATTAGGATTTGGGATGCTATTTCTGAAGGAAAGTGTGCGTTGGCTGGCCAAGAAGGGACGGCACGACGAGGCTTTACAATCATTGGTGTGGATTCGAGGAGGGGAGGAGACTGAAGAAGTCCGAGCAGAGTGAGTCGTTATTCCAAGGATGCAAGATTATGACACTAATTCCGTGTAGAATGGCGGAAATTCTAGACGGCATTGAAGCTGAAAACCTGGCGACGGAAGGCGTAACATGGAAAGAAATACTGCGAGTACCGGGAAACCTACATCGAATGTGCATTGCAGTCACAATTCAGATAGGTACGATCTTGGTCATCATGCTCACCCACGATTCGCCATGGAGACTAACAACAAACAGGTGTTCAGATAACGGGAAATACTTCCCTGGCATACTGTTGGCACCCCGATATCCGCACCAACGTGCAAGTTAGCTGACCACGTACAGATGCTCCTCAGATATTCCAGGCGGTCGGCGCTGGTGACAATAGTTTGTTTGTGAGCGGTTTCTTTGGAGTCGCGAAAGTAATCTCCTGCTGGTTCTTCCTTTTGTTTCTCGTGGAGCGCATTGGCCGACGGTGGTCGCTTATCATCGGCGCCTTTTTCATGGGCTTACTGATGCTGATCGTGGGGATCCTGGCTAAGGTATATCCCCCAGACCCAGATGCTACCAGCATTAGCTCTGCTGGGATTGCCTCTATTCTGATGGTCTATTTTGAGGCCATGTGCTATAACATGTCCTGGGGTCCGGTGCCATGGCTATATATGAGCGAGATCTTCCCTACTAGGATCCGTGAGGTCGGGATTGCGGTCGGTACCGCAACTCAATGGTTGTTCAATTTTGTGTTTTCACAAGCAACACCTCATGCCCTCGATAGTATGGGTTGGGGCATGTTTTTGATGTTTTGCATCTTCAATTGGATCCTTGTGGTCTATGCCTGGTTGTTCATCAAAGAAACAACAGGCAAGTCTTTGGAGGAAATGGAAGAAGGTTAGTATCGTCTAAGCATGAGACATTCGGGCTACCTGCTGACGATCCTCTGCAGTCTTTAACTCGAAAGTGGGGCTATATCATAAAGAAAGGCCACTAGATGAACAGGCCCAGGATAGACGGTGAGTAAGTCTTGGATGGAGAGCCTGGTATATGTGTCCCTGGTTGTCTCTGCAAGAGGCAATATAGCTAGCTGCGAGTGATATCACTTACATAAATGAAGGATTTCCCACTTGTGACAAAAGTCGAAAGGGTACTCTTGTCCGTAATGAGTAAACCAGGTCTTGGGCACGACGGACTCTTCCTGATTTTGCTTTACACATGTGGGTCGGCCTGCCATTCGCATTCTTCAAATTCCTCCGATCCCTGCCTATAAGTCAACAGATCAACCCACAAAAGGAAAGCAAAGAAGAGCAAAAGTACCAGAATTAATATCAACCGTTCCCTGTTATTGCTAGGTACCGCTGAACTAAAGCCTTAGTACGTGGCCTGATAAACTCCAGCACGTGTTATTGGACGTTACTCTCCTTATTATATCTGGTCAATTCTACCCTCTATTAGCGGTTTTTCCATCCCAGGATCGGGATTCTTTAATCATGTGGATTTCTACCCTTCTTTTTTCTTTCAGCTCCTTCACTTCCCGCCAAGTACTTTCGTCGTAAAACCATTGCCTGCTACCCCAAGCCACCATGGCCAACCACTCCCTTCCTTTGGAAATCGATACTGAAGATGAAAACTTTATCACTGTTGTGAGCACCCTATGAAGCAAACATCAATGCACGTTATATCCTACTGATGATTTTCACGTAGGACACGGATCCCAGCGAATCAGAAATTGGAGATTCTCAGTCGTGCGTCCAGCAAGGGAAATGGCGACAACAATACCTCAAGACTAATCTAAACCTATTAGTGAACTCACCTCGCTCCGCAGTAGCATCACCAACTACTACTACGAGAACGGCCGCCGTTACCATGCATATCATGCAGGCGCTTATTGGTACAGCAAGTGAATGGTTTGTCATTTTACCATTGGCTGCTGACCTAGGCAGGGGCCCGAATGATGATCAAGCCCAGGAGAGCATGCAAATCGGGTATGGCCTCTGGGTGCCTTGCACATGCCTGGGCTAATTGTAAAAGACACGAGGTTTATCGTCTACTTCTAAACGGCAGACTATACCTAGCTCCTATTGCAGATGGCCTTCAAGTGAGCTGCTCCCGCTTATGTACGCGAGTGAAAGAAAGGCGCTGACGGAAAAGAATGTCCTGGACATCGGGACGGGAACAGGTCTATGGGCGATAGAATTCGGCGACATGCACCCTTCAGCCAAAGTTATCGGAACCGACTTATCGCCCATTCAGCCATCGTTTACCCCACCAAATGTGCAGTTTGAGGTAGATGACTGCAGTGACCAGTGGCTATATAAGAACGATACCTTCGACTTCGTGCACGTGCGTGGTCTTTATGGCTGCGTGTCGGACTGGGATGAGTTCTACAAGAAGGCTTACAAGTACGATTTGCCGTCATTGACGTCGAATAATTGTTAACGAGACCAGGCACATCAAGCCAGGCGGATACATCGAGCAGCTCGAACAGTCAGTCCAAGGCAAATCCGACGATGGAACTACGAACGGGACTATGTATAGCGAATGGGCGCAGCACTTCCTCAATGCTGGAGATACATTCGGGAAAACCTTTCGGATTGTCGACGAAGCCAAAGACCGAATCAAGAAGGCAGGGTTTGTCGATGTCGTCGAGTGTCGATACAAGTGCCCCATTGGACAATGGCCAAAGGATCCTCAACTCAAGCTTTTGGGAAAGTTGAACCGAGTCTATGCCGAGGAAGCTATTGAAGGGTATGCGATGATGTTGTTTACGAATGTTCTAGGTGTATGTGGGTATCGAATTACTTGCGCAGCCCGTCAATATGCTAACTCAGCCAGTGGACACGCGACGAAGTAGAAGTGTATCTTGCTCGGATGCGAAATACTCTGAGAGACTCGTCAATCCATGCGTATCAAGAGATGTATGTATATCTGGGACAATGAACATCTGAGGATAACACTATGCTGACAATTGCAGGGTCGTTGTATATGGACGGAAGCCATTGGAGGGAGAATCTGTAGAAGCCGCGTGAGCTTCGGTCATAAATATGTAGGTTTAAGACTTATGCTTATGTTGATTCATGTACAATCCGCTTATCCCCAGCTTGTGACTACATGTGCGACTATATACACTCATGATTCCAAATCCACAGTGGAGCAGCCGAAGATAGGATGTAAATCGCACCCAATTGACATTAAACCCATGGAATCTGGGCTAAATTAGGCTCTATCTGAGCCAAAACAAACGACGATTGGCGATCATTTGTAATCCAAGAAGTACTTGTTAATTACCTACCTGTAAGACTATGTACTCTTATCTTAGCTGACCCCTCACCACAAGTTCCTGTAAACAGGTGTAGTTGACACACAATCACCGATAATCTTCTACAAACAGCGTCTTGCATCTGGAATTCCTCTAGAAATTCCAATATGAGCCCCAGTATGCATCCAAACGAGGGTGCTCGGCACAACACAAGACTGAAAAGCTTGGAAGGGATAGACAGCGAATCCAAAACCCTAAGACCCGAGGATCACGCAGCTTTAGACGAAGCGCTTATGGACTAAACGAACATCACGTTCATGACTGAAGCCGGTCGATCTTCTCAAAGGGAAAGACAACGGAGAAGGAAAGAGGCCGAAAGTGCGAACAAACAATCCTCATCATGGTGATTCGGATTTCCTCTCTTTTGTTTCTTTATCGACTCGTGCCGATGCTGCGGAAGTTGGGTCGCTGACTTGCACAGATCTCACTAGCTAGTACACGAATACGCAGAATACAAGCGTTGGTTGATGCCAGTTATCGTCTATTTTGAATCGTCTGCTGCTACAGGTGGGAAAGAGACACATATAGGTAGTCTTAACTTCTTTCCCAGTATCCCTGTGCATGTTTCATAGGGACGAAATCCTTCATTTTAGCGTGTTTCTGATAGGTACTGAGCTGTCCCGACTGCATCTCGTAACCCCCCAAGTAAGCTATTAGCCCATTTTCTAGAAAGACTCTCATGACTTAAGGCGTTCATGACATATCTATAGCCATATCATACACCCTAGTAACTACTAGTAGTTATTGTCCCGTCACGTTATGCATGATAAGACACGCTTGCCAGCGCCTAATTAAGGAAGCGGTCCGTCCTGTTGTTTACATTAACCCCCAGAAGTAACTGAAATGTTGAACCTAGCACTATATAGTATTCTACATCGAACGTACACTTTGTCAAATCGCATATCATGGACTTTGATGACTTCAGCCTTACCAAGTATGAGAAACTAAAAAAGGAATGAGTGAACCTATGCTCGAGTTCTGCCAAAGGCATTTGCGAATTGGCGGGTCGTTACCGGAACGACGACCGGTGTCTGCTTCGTTCCATGCATTGTGGTTCGTTTAATTTCAGCTTTCGTCTCCACTGGAATGATAATGGTGAAGATTGGCTCATTCGTTTTCTGCTTCCTGGGAAGTCGATGTTCCTGGATGAGAAGGTACAGCGAGAAGTTGCCCTCATGAGGTTTATTGTGAGAAACACTAGAGTCCCTGTTCCCAAAGTCATTGCCTATGGTGCCTCACAGGATAACCCTACCGGCCTTGGTCCTTTATAATCATGACGTGGATCGAAGGCAGGAAGATGTCTGATATACTCCGGAAAGATGACATGCAAGAAAAAGAAGGTCTCTTGGATCCTAATATCGACTAGACTGTGCTCAAGGCTCTATACTCTCAGATGGCAGAAATCCTGTTAGAGCTCTGGAGGCTTGATTTCCAATGTATTGACAGCCTTGGCCTGGATGAAGCTGGTAATCTACTTATTGATCAAGGCCCACTTACCCTAGAGATGAATGAACTGATCAGGACGTGTGGTATCAACGAACTTACTCCCTCTGTCCCTTACCAGAGTTCTACCGATTATATTGTCTCACTACTCCATCTTCAATCGAAACACTTACAGGAACAGCGGAATAGCGGAACAGCGTATATGATGCGATAGACTGTCGTGAGAAATATGCATGTCGTCATTTAATGAAGGCCGCTGCAGGGCACTTTGTCTCTCTGGAAAATAATACCCATGGCCCTTCAAGTTATTCTGCGATGACCTGGGGCCTGGAAATGTACTTGTCGATGGTTCGTTCCAGGTAACGGGCGTTATTGATTGGGAGTTTTGTTATACAGCCGCAGCTCAATTCGCAGGCAGTATACCATGGTGGTTACTGCTTGAGAAGCCACAGAAACTGATAAATAATATGGGTGCAAGTGCCTTGAGCTTTTTCTTCCCAAGCCAGTCTCTTCGTGGAGATATTAGAACAGAAGGAAGAAAGGATGCTCTCCGAGAAACATCAACTTTCAACGCAGATGCGGGAGCCAATTCAGACTAAAAGTGCCTCGTTCTATTTAGCATGCCGCATGGTCTCCTCTGTGGATCTTATATACTGGGAAATGCTCGATGAATTTTGCTGGGGCCCAAGGGTATCTGTAGCGGAAAGGGTGCGGAGTTTCACCACCAACGTTGGCATCCATAGTGGCCGAGAAGACTTCGTGCGCTCCAAGATCTCGCAACTCAAAGAGTATTATGCCGAGCTGGGAGAGGATATCGACATCGACTACGAGGAAGATCGACCCAATTCGCCATTGAAAGAAAACTCCCCAATCCGAGAGGTAGGTCAATTCATGATTATTCTTTCTATAACAAGAATTGCTGATTCAACTGTTAATGGCTAGACTCCTCAAATCAGTTCAAAACGCAGAGCCGGCCTCACTGCAACTGCTGTTGGGTTTATACTCTTCACAATGGCTGTGGGCACACTAAGAAAATATTATCGATCTTAAGGTGATATGAATCCTTGCATCAGCCGTGGAGCACAAGCATCTTTTTCTTCCCTCTGCCACTCGGTACTGATTTTACTTGGGATTTCTATTCATTAATATGGCTCTTATCACATCATTTCCTTTCTCTATATTGTTTAATTCATACCGATATACCCAACATGTCAGAAATTATCCTCTGCATACCTCTCATATCTAATATTACTCTTGGTCGCATGTCTTTACCCCCATGAACCTCGATTATGTTATCAGTGATTTCCCTAGTTGGGCTAACATACCCAGTCATAGCACCTTGTATGTCCTTCTTTTATGGCCTGTCGCAGGAGGATCTATCTTGCTTAAGAATGAATGCACCGCTCTACATGATAGTGGTATAGTTCTTGGCTGGCCCTGTCTCAGCGATCTCTGTGAGAAGACTGGTAAAGTCAGAGCGATAAATTCGTGGTAATTGCCAGAGACCAGCTCAGAGCTAATACGGATCCTGCCCTTTTTTGTTTGCAGGACATATGTGCAGTTTCTCACCTCCACATGGGGGTATTAACGAAGACACCTGTGTATTCTCCGGGGTAACCTTGAAATCCTTGGAAAGTACTGCGTATCTAGATATACGATCAAGGAACTCAAAAGCCAGATATAAAGCAAGAGACAAAGACGTCATCATATTATGGTTCAAACCTTGTGAGTCTCTTGAGCCATTATCTAAACAAAGACATGATACAGTGAGTTTCTATTTCTTCTACTACGCCGACTGTTATAGCTTGGCCGAGAGTGCAATGTACAGTGCTGCGTTTATGCAATCTCGAAACTCACCGGAAAACGCCATGTTTAAGCAATATAACCATGCCTCTTGTGGTGCCCGTAGAACTGACACTATGAACGAAAAGGCGACCACAAATATGACTGAAACAAAGGGTTGTAATAGGGGACAATAAGGCTTAGTTTCCACATCTTAAATAGGGTTCGCACGGATGACTCGAATCATATCTTTACTAGTCAGCCTCATACTAAACACCTTTGCGTTCCCACATCCAACTTTCGGGATACATCCCCCGTCTGTACCCTCGCATTTACTGTTGGCAACATGGAGCAACAATCGGAGATGGGACCGCCACCTACTCCAATAACGGGATTGAATCCTCCGTCATACGCAGAATCAGTGGCAGAGACTATTGACGTGTTTTTTTATCCAGACTGGCATTACAGAGGCGGATGCGACGACTCCATGGTCAAGACGCTAGGTGACCTACTGAACAAGGATCTATCTTTCATGCATCCAGGAACCGATTTCTTCGCATTCTACTCCTTCCTGCTAAAGATGGGTGACCAACGTATGGAGCTGTGGACCCCAGAAGGCCGTTTCCAACCCATCGCGGTCATCGAACTTCGAGGGCCATATCTACGCGAGTTACGCGCGTGTGAGGGCAAGGCCCTCGTTTATTTAATGCACCCAAAGAATGAGCCATACGTCAAAGAATGCTATTTCATCGTCCAGGAAACGATCTCGCATGCATCCCAGAGGAGCGGCGTTGCAGGAAAGCTGGTATCACTGTTTGATAAGTCGAAGACTGTGGAGCGGAAATACTGGGTCAAGGCCGCACTCCAAGGGGAACGTTATATCTTTCGGGAACTGGCCCCAAGTGAGGAGCCAATGCCGGAAGAGTTGGTTGGTGTTAAGTCTATTTGCTATCAGAGGTTCTGGCCGTGAGGAAGACACTTATAGCATCGAGAGCTGGCCATGGATGTGGGAGTTATTGTAGTGACAGAATAACCATCCCATCAACATTCAATAGCTGACGTACATTTTCCAAGCGGTGTTGCCGGCCTTTCCCAATCATGGTTTAATTTAACCAGCCTTGGTTTAACATTGCATATCTGTCTCAGCTGCGCTCAATGACTTTTCAAGACGCTTCAGCCCTTCTTCTAACGCATTCTTCCCCACCGTAAATGTAAGCCGGAACCATCCAAACTCTTCTGCCGCGTATATACTACCGGGGGCAATCATAAGGCCATTCTGAGCGCATATATCTGCAAAGACTTGCTCACGTTGTCTATATATGCTAGCGTCAGGAGACGTAGTTCTCAGTTCCCTATAATCGGCCTGTTGCCGCAACGATTTGGGTATGAGCAGATGTCGTAGATCGACCCAGATGAAGAGCCCAGCATTCCTTGATCGCATTAGTCTATGCCTAATATCACACGCCAAGACACTTACATCTCGTAGTAGCTAATACCGCGTTCCCGGAAGAAAGACGTGGCTATATGATAATTCTCTGCCATGAGTTCGCACTTTCTGAACATAAAGTCTTCCAGTTTTGGTTTGTCCTCTAACATGGCTGCCCAGACATCCTGGAGGACATGGGGTGACCAAGAGAACATACTATGTGCATTGTATGTTAGGGATAGCCTCCAGGACAAGGCACAGCTTTCAATACGAACCTAATACTAGACATTGCGCCAATCAACCCCTCATTGTTGGTGCACACAAGCCCGAGGCGCAATCCGTTCGCGCAAAAGTCTTTGCTTGCGCCGTAAAGTACGTGGATGAGGTTTGGCTCAATGACATTGCGAAGGTCAAGAGCGAGTGTGGACACGAACGGTGTCGGGGTCGGCATCGCAATATTGGGGAAGACTGATTTTGCGTAGATCTCATCGGAGATGAAATGTAATTTGTTTCTACCACAGAAAGAGGCAAATTCAAGAAGAGTTTCCGGAGGCTGCAAAATAGTTAGCGGATATACGGTTTATGAGTCAGGCCAGAGAGGGAGTACGGACATAGCATCGTCCCAGGGGGTTGTGTGGGCTTGAGATGTTGTTGTTAGTAGATAGTCAATTACCTTCGTTGTACGGGGTCACCTACTTGGAGATCAAAAGAGCACGGATGGTTATACCCTTCTTTCTAGCTTCACGAAGAGCGACTTCCAGGGCCCGCCTGTTTACATCCGGACTGAACAAATCGTCCAAGTCCGAGAATCCCTCCACCCCTTCGTACTTAACCCCAATCACCCGGCCATTGCTTCGATTCAAAGTGTCAAAATCGAATCCGTTGTAATATGGTTGGGGCACGAGAATGCCATCCCCGTCGTTGCAAATGGCCCAGGTTAAGGCGTCAATGGCGCTGGCCAAGCCAGGTGTGATAAGAATGTTGTCCTGCGTAATGGTCTTACGAGAATGGAACTCTTCATTCAAAAATGCAGCTGCGGCACGCCGGAGACGACGTGATCCTCGTGGGCCTGTGCTATAGGTAAGGTGACTCAAGGGAAGGACAGTGATCTATGCCCATGAGAAATGAGAACATGCAACTAGAGAGCTATGAGGCGGGGTTATCCACCTGCTCCTTTATCAACTGCCCCATCTCGTCATGCAGAAGGCTATTCTCCGCGAGGCGAAGTATAATGCTTCGCGATCAGTCAGAACAGACTCTTATAAAATGCTGACCAATTGGTACCAGATGAACCTACGTCCCATCGGGGTTTTCTGGTGACCAGGGATTGGCCATGGACTTTTCGCGTGGACCCCAGACATCTCGGTATGCAAAATTTTCTGCAGCTCGCCTTGACAAGCGATGCTGAGATACGGCTGCATCGATATGCTCCTCCCGACGAATTGAGCTCATGCTGGCTGATATGAAGTGACTCGGTACTCTGCTACCCGCAGGTTCGTATATATACTTTTCGTTAGGAGCGCTCAAAGGTGGATCAAGGGGCTTTTATCAAGTTCAATGCTCTCCAGTCGGCCGAGTTAACCATAAGTGTTCGAGACTTGGCGCGCCCTCCCGCGACATACCAGAGATCTTTCTGTACAGTTTATCCCAAGGTTTCCACCAAGCAGGTGAGATGCTTTAGCCGGGGAGCGAAGTGGGGCGAAGCCATACAACCTAGGCGAGGTTATTTGAGAGCTGGAACAACGACGGCGAAAGTTTCACAACAGTAGCCAGGGAGAGTATCGACCAGGGATCCCAATATTACAGAGTATAATATACAAGATCTATGGATATAGACAACATAAGCTATCCTCGAGAGAACTGCGCCAATCACTCACTTCTTCCGGTGAGGGTTATTAGAGATTTTTTATGCCTTACGTAAGGAAGACATAACAATCTATTGCATAAAATATGTCGCTTTGGCAGTAACAGCTTGGCGGGGTCACTGTCTCTACGCATAGATTAAGAGGAAGAAATATTCACCAGCATGGTGCTATTCCAGGCTTCGTCTGACGGGACTGCGGCTCTTGTAGGACTAGCTGGTGTTACTCGCGACCTCATATAGTCCACATCAGCAACAGATATCAGTACTGTTACGTAATTGTCAGATCTTCTCGGCATTCCAGTAGAGAGAAAGTGTTCATCGCAATCTCGGCTGAGCTCCATGTCTCCTGGGGCAGTTGAAACACCGAGGCTTCTTCGTCGTCGGTTTCGCCCCCTCTGCTTCATATGGAGCTGAAGGCCCTTTCACTCGCCTGTTCATTGTTTTTCTATTTCTGATTAGGGTCACCTCCAACGAGCCTGATATTCAAATGATGTTTGTAAATCATAATTCTGGGCGAAGGATACATAAACAACAGGCTCAAAGGAATCAGTCGTCTGATGATATCGTCGCCATATGCCCAACGCTCTGCTCTGAATATGGATACGATAACGGAGATGGCTGGCGAAGCAAGGGTTTCCGGCGCCACCCATGAAGCCAACGACGACCACGTATTGACCCTGGCGAAAGAAAGACCTGGATGCTCGAATCGATCCACTCCGCCGTCATCCGAAAGCACCATATTTCGCCATTCCAATTCTAGGGGCAGTTGGGGAAGCGAACAACTTTCGCAGAACAAATGCGGAGAGTACCCTGGTGCTCGCTTGGAGGGAGCCCTGGCAAGATCAGACCATGGCCCGTGCGAAGTCTCGTTCGATAGTGACCAAGATCCGATGTGCCCTCGAAGCATGTCGTCGGTGAGAAAATGGGTGATTGTGTTGATTGTCTGTACCGGAACCTTATGCGTGTAGGTCTATATTCGATTCCTCGACGTTCACCCTGTTAGTTTCCCAAGATAATAGCTGATCAGGTGGATGTAGGACTTGCACTAGCTCGATCTACACAACTACATATACACAGATGGATCCTGAGTTTAACACATCCACGCTGATCTCTACCGTAGGGCTATCGTCCTTTGTCTTGGGAATCGGTACAGGCCCGTTGCTCACTGGCCCGCTGAGCGAGCACTACGGACGCAGACCCATCTATCTGGTCGCGTGGTCGATGTTCCTAGTTTGGACCATTCCATCGGCAGTGGCGAAGAATATCCAGACGATTATCGTTTCTCGGTTCTTCAATGGCTTTACTGGGGGCACCTTCCTTTCCGTTGCGGGAGGAACTGCTGGAGACATATTCCCACGGAATCAGATCCAAGCCCCGATGGCGCTTGTCTCATCAGTACCATTCATTGGACCTTCTTTGGGCCCGGTGCTGGGCGGCTTCATCAACTCACACTTAGAGTGGAGGTGGACCTACTATATTATGATCATTTGGTCCGCTGTGCTGCTCATCTGCATGATATTCTTCGCGCCAGAGACATACCACCCCATCCTACTGCGTGCTAAGGCGAGAGCCCTTCGCCGGGAAACCGGAAACGATCATTATAGAGCACCGATGGAGAATGACACCAAGACATGGAGACAAATCGTCGTAGTCTCACTTCTGCGACCATTCCAGCTTCTCTTCCTAGAACCCATGTGTCTCTGTTTGGATATTTACTCGGCCATCTTATTGGGCATTCTCTACTTATTCTTCGGCACCTTTCCCATGGTGTTTCGCACAACATATGACATGAACCTTTGGCAGGGCGGACTGACCTTCGTGGGGATTATCGTTGGAATGGTTCTCGCTGCCGCTACGACCCCGATCTGGTCCAACATTCGGGGGCGTCTGATGAGCAATAATGCCAAAGAACCCGGACGCAGTGAGCCAGAATACCGACTTCCTCCGGCTATTGTCGGTGGCCTTCTTATTCCTATTGGGCTTTTTTGGTTCGGTTGGACTACCTACTCGAGGATTCATTGGATAGTGCCTATCATTGGATCGGCTGTATTTGGTGGAGGGTGAGTATCTGGCGGGTCCCCAATCTGTCAACTAAATTAATTGCGCTTGTTCCCTAACTGATGATATCTGTCTATCATTTCGATAAGTTTTGGGCAGAAATTCTTCTCGCGCAATCTTTTACATGATTTTGGGCTAACGTGATATCAGGTTGTTGCTGGCATTCACTGGCATCTTTACATTTCTTGTATGTTCATACCCCGTCACGCCCATTGTTCCTTGGGGATCCAGAAGACACGAAGTGCTCACTATCAACATAGGTCGATGCCTACCCGCAATACGCGGCATCTGCCTTGGCCGCTAATGGCTTCGCTAGGTGCACGTTTGCCGGTACGTCTCCTCGGTCGCAGCCAAGCCTCGCAAGCAAAAGTCTATTGTAATCGTTTGCTGATGATTGAATAGCTGCGTTCCCCTTATTTGGTACCCAAATGTACGACAAGCTCGGCTATCAGTGGGCAACTAGTCTTCTGGCATTTCTGACCGTTGCCATGATGCCATTTCCATGGCTATTTTTTAAATATGGAAAGGCGCTGAGAGCCAAGAGCAAATTCGCTCTACCGGGCTGAACGAATGTCCACAAATGAGGCAACGACTTCATTTTGAAGGTGGCTAGTTGCCCATCAATCTATGATCATATTCAGGGGGGAGCAGTGGACGCAGAGCAGGGCGGCGCAATGCCAGTAAGAGTCCATCCCATCACCCGACGACAGAAATACTGCGAGTGGCTGTTAGAAGAACTTTTAGCTGACAAAACTGCTTCGCATTATAGACGCTGTTGCATATGGTTGTAGGCTAAGCATCTCTGGAGGATGCCCTGTGTGCACGTTGTCGGGAGATTACTGCTGATATTCTTGCTGGATAGGCCAATGGTGGGCCAAATGGATATAGTGAAGGCCTTGGTCTATTGATATCACGATAGCCAAGTTTAGATCAGGTTGCCAGAGAACGTGGCTTATCGCTTTTCCATCAGGCTTCCTCGCATCGGCCATGCGTATAAGAACAGGTGGTCTCACACTGCGGCCAGAGCACCATAAGATTTCGATGCCATATGTGATATATGACCCATATAACAACTCATGCCAACAAATGGTGAAAGCGTTGTAGTCTAAAATTGTAGAGAATTTGCACCCTCCGCATCCAAACCGTCGAAGGGCTCAGCTAGCGTTTGCCCTAGACCGTTATGTAGAAGTAGGTCCACGTCGAACGTGTTATCAAGGTAGCTTGCCCAGAAGGAATTATACACAAAGTGATCAGCTGCTTGTGGGAAGTTTCCCGGTGGATAAAGGTCTCGAAGATGCGGCCCGTTAATGTAGCTGGCCTGGGTCATCGGCTCATTTCTGTTGGAACTCTCCAACACAGTTTGTTTAGGACTATGCCCCTGAGGTAGCCCCGATGAATTCGAACGACCCGAGAGCGCTACGTTGCTACGATTGTTCGCAATGCTGGACGACACATTGATTATCGAGGCAGAGCCCTGTACCGTCAACCTTCGCAACAGGTTTATAAATGCTTTAGCAATCCAGATCTTGACAGGCCAACTACTGGCCAGCTCACTCAAGGCTAATAGACATTGTCGGGACTTGTTTTCGGCCAGTTGTCCACGTATGGGGTCCCTTCGGCAGATGACGATCGTGTGGACGGAGAGCGCAGAGAACAGAGCCGGGACACTATGTAATGCGTTAGGAGTCCGGATAAGTTCTGCAGGGCAGGAAAGGTGATAGTCTTACAGGTGGATTAACCCTGCCTTGATCATCCCAGCACCTAAAAGGTCCTCTGCAAGACGGGTGATGGTGTCAGCAGCCATGCGTCCTCGGACATCACATTCGGCTTCTGCTGGAGACAGATTTTCGATAGCCTTGGGTCGAAATAGAAGGATGAGGCAGTTTCTAAATTCGATGAGTGTATTTATGGCGACAATGGTGGGTTCTACACCTACTGGTAGCTGAAGTGTAACATGGACGCCCAGAACGATGCACCCACTGATCCATCCGGTGTCGTCTTTCGGAGTTCATCCGGCAACTGGGATTCCCACTGGGCAAGTCTTCCAGCAAGCCTTTCCGTATCATATTTATCCAGTGCAGCACGACGAGGGCTGAACTCGCCAATAAGGATATCGCCAACTAGAAGGGTATCGTGAGCTATCGGGTACGGAGGGAAGTCGTGGCCCGTAGGTGTGTGACGACTAACGTATTGTGGCTAATTTTGTCATTTGAAGCGCATAAGCGATATGAAAGCTCGTCTGGACGGGGATGAGTGTCTGGTCATAGCCATCGTCAAATTTGAAGTCATCCTCATCTAGGTCCTCAATATCACAGTCCTCATCCCGTATGCGACAGGGCCGGCCAAAGGCCGCAGAGGTATGCCGGTCACGCATCTAGCTGGGTTAGCCTGGTCAAACAAAATTGCAACCGGTAGTGCGATACATATATAACCCACCAAATCCGCTTTCTCAAAGACCTCATGGGTTGACTCATCGCGGACTGCGACGTGCTAAGATAATGTCAGTCTAGATTCCAGCCAGGGAGATGACTGAACATGCCGGTGCAGTGCTAATGATTGGGCGAGGGCTGTCGCGCATCCAATCCAATGACAGGTGTCCTTCTGGTCTTCGGGGCCAGCCCACCAGAATCCAAAGAGGAGAAGGACGGCCACAAGATTCATTCGATCATTCTCGTAGTCGGCATCATACAATGCCTTTGCCCGAAGGTAGTGTGTTTTCCTGGCAGTGGCTCGGTCAGGATAGCCAGCCGCGTGAACCAGTTCTTCACTGCCAACCGTAAATCCCAAGAAGAAAATAGTCTGCAGAACAAGTGGAGAGGCTTGGCCCTGGCGGTACAACCGTATAAACCTTTGTCGATCAAACACTGGATATGCCGGGTGGAGCTTGTGGAAAAACACTTGTACTAGTTGGTCAGCCACGTCGCAGGGTAGCATGGTGAAAGCCTCTTGCAAGGAGACCGGTTCTTCAATCCGTGGTGCATGGTTGGTATCTGGTCGATCTGCAATAGAAGCCGGGATGGGGTAATGCACTTTCAAGGGCTCGGTTGAACCATCTTTGGGACTATAGACCACCTCGACGACGTACGATAAATTCACAGATTCGCCCGACGGTTGTGAGCGAGGATGCGACTGTTCTTGGCAGTTCTGGGGTCGGTCTCTACCATCAATGTCGGCCATTCCCGCAAGGGGTATCTCAACGCCACTGTCCCGATCATGTCCTCCTGGTGCGGTTGTTCTGGGGACGGGATCGGCCTGGCCCAAATCGATTGTGCTGTGGGTAGCGCCAGGAGCCACTGCCACCGGGGTCATCTGGACCCGTCTACCGGCAGGTGGATCCCTGGTTTCCTGTGACCGTGCAGAATCATTTACATCTCGAGCTCGGGTGTGCCGCTTCCGAGTGTACCTAGCAGTGTTGGTAACCTTGACTGGGAATAGCTACATATAACCCAAGACCAACATACTTGCCTCGTCTCGATTCAATCAATTCACAAGGCGTTTGCCGAGTGCGACAATGCCAGCAGGGTTGCCCATCAGCCGCATCACATTTCACTCGCCTGGCATTACAGGCCTTACAGGCGACTCGGGCGCGCCGCAGAACAGGCGTAGACGTACTTGGAGACGACAGGATGCCCTTCGGGCTCTCTCCCGATTCAGCCATCCTGGCCAAGTCCAGTTTGTCAGTAAGCAGTTGGTAGAGGCTTGTCCACTGTTTGTAAGTAGGCAAGGTTGACGGAGTGCTCCGTCGAGATTAAGATGCCTCGGCTTCTTACGAGCTTTCATTGCATGACTAAGCCGACGCTTGTCTATCTTGGGACAATTTGCTTGGTCTCATAGAGAGATTCAATACAGAGGGAGACATTAGGTATACAGAGGTAATCTGATCTTGATGCGGTATCGACAACACATCTTCTCGGTTCCCCACAAAATACATTCATGCAGGGGGTGGGTCTTGGCGGCAGCAAACAAGGATTCCTTTAACGGCATCCGATGCATCATCCAGAGGACTCACCGATATTCCGTCTGAGAGACGATGATCCCCCGCCATAACATGTCTGACCCCTTCATATAATTGCAGTACCCTAACTCCCCACTAGGTGTCAGTACTCTACATCTCTGTAGGTACCGAACAAGTACCACCTCGAGTATGCCCCTCAAATACGTGGCCACCCTGCTCTGCGCGCTCTCGCCGACATTGGCGCTTTCGCACGACGCAGTGCAGGATCTTCTGCTCAGTGTTCCCCGGGCTGAGAAGATCCGAGAGTGGTCCCATTATTATACAAACGGATCACATCTTCCAGGCCAAGGGCTTGAACAGGGTCAGTGGACGAAAGGCTTGTGGGAGGGATTTGGCATCCAGACAAACCTCACCACTCACGAAGTAAACCTGACTTATCCTGGCGATCATCGTGTTGCATTACTGGATCTCAACCTCAAGGATCCCCTAGTTCTAGAGGCGCATCGAATCGAGGATACTGCGCCGGGAGCAGGCCCGGGTTTGAAACCATTCATCCCGAGCTTTTTCGCATGGGCAGGCGTTGGCAATGTCACAGCTCAATATATTTTTGCCAATTTTGGACTACGCGAGGACTACGACGATCTGCTGAAGGCGAATGTCACTGTTCAGGGTAAGATTGCCGTCGTCAAAACGGTTTTTGGGTCGTCTCTTCTGCGAAAACTCCATATGGGAGTTCATCGCCAAGAGCAGATGAAGGTCGCGGAAGAGTATGGCCTCGCTGGACTGATTGTGTACACTGATCCCCAGCTGGACGGTGAAATCACTGAAGCCAATGGATATGCGGCGTTTCCAGACGGGCCAGCTCGTCCACCGAGCATGATCGAACGTGGAGTCATGACCTTTGCAGGCAAGTGGGTTTTTTCTACCTCGCCCCCCCCTCCAAATGAATGACCCAAACAACTAATTCGGTAGTGTAACCAGGTTCCACACGCACTATTCCGGCCATGCCCATATCCTTTGCTGATGCCATTCCGATCCTTCGGGCTTTGAACAGCTATGGCCCTTCTGCCACAGAGTTTGGTCAACGGTGGCAAGGCGGGGGACTGGGTTATAAAAACGTTCAATATGATGTCGGTCCGTCCCCTAGTAACATCGTGCTAAATCTATGCAACAAACCGACTTTCACCGATGGGCAGGTGCACCATGTCATCGGCACCATTCCAGGTAGCACATTCCCAGATGAGGCCATTATGCTGGGAACCCATCGCGATTCCTGGGGTCCCGGGGCTGGTGATGGTTCTAGTGGATCTTCCGCCCTAAATGAAGTCGCCAGGAGCTTTGGCACTGCGTTGACTCAAGGGTGGAAGCCTTCTAGAACAATCATAATAGCCAGCTTCGAGGGACTTGAGTTCAGTTTGCCGGGCACAAAGGATTGGTGGGAACAGAACCAGTGGCTGAATACCAGCGCTTTTGCATACCTGGATGTTGTTTCTGCTGGTGCAGGTAGCCAGTTCCATGTGCAGGGAAGCCCTCTTCTTGGACGGGCTATGCGCTATGGTGCCGGCTTAGTGTTAGATCCCAACACAAAAGCTAAGAACCAAACTATGCTCGATATGTGGGGTGGCGAAGTGTCATTGGGAACGGGTGGAGATGGGTCGATCCTGCTGGGAACAGCTCTTTTGTCAAGCGTGGACTTTGGTTTTTCGGCAGGGGAAGGGGATACTCCATTCCCATATCATTCTCTCTACGATACGGACGAGTGGATGGATCAATATGGGGATCCGAACCGTGATTATCACCTAACTACAACGAAGATCTGGTCCCTTGCGGTCTTTGCTCTTGCCAGCGACGTTTTAATCGCTGTCACGGTCAACGAATATGCCGTTCTCCTGCAAGGCTCTCTGAAATCTGTTAATATGCCAGGCCTAGATCTCTCCTCCATGGAGAAAGCCATCAGTGACTTGCATCAAGTGACGTTGGCATTCGATACGTATGCTGACAATCTGGGTAGCCAGATATCAGCCCATCCAGAGGAGTCCGAGCTTCTCTCCAAGGCTGGAGAAGTCAATCGCAAGTACATCGAGCTCGAGCGACTGTTTGCCGATCCTCACCCTCAACCCAGCTCCAGTCGCCATCTGATTATGCCGCGAGCACCGTATTACTTCCAATCGAGCGCATTTCCTGCACTGCAGCAGAGCATCGCTGCGGGTAATTTGTCTGCCGCTGAAGTAAGTCACCTTCAGTATTATGTTTATCTCTACTAATCAATGTGGTTTGCCAGACATACCGAGACAGAATAGTCGGACGTATTCAGGAAGTGGTTGCGTTGCTAACCCTAGATAGCACAAGTACGACTGTCGCGCCGATAGAAAAGACAGTTGCTTTGGGCAGCTGCATGTCGCATATTGAACTTGTCTTCGGTAGTCAATGCTGTGGAAGTCAGGGAAAAGACGGTACCAAATCGAACAGACCCAGGAAAATGATTGATGGTCTCCAAATGTTACTCACTTCAGTTTAGTATTCTGTGAGAGTCGCATTTCAGTACACTGTCTTATCAGGCGGTATAGTTTCAGCAGAGGATACATGATGCAACGAAGCCCAGAAGAAAGTTTAGAAATAAGGTTTCAATGGAAATCAACGCTAAATCAACAGCCCCTGCCTCAAGCTTCCCTGGCTAGCGATCTGCTCAATGCATGCTCCATGTGTGAAAACCAAACAACACGGAGTTCAAACAGTTCGGTGCGATTCCCTTTGAATTTCATTTCACCTAGTAGAATGCATTATCGATCTGTATCTATAGAAACGTCAGACGATTGTAGGCGGTTAGGGTTTGAAGGTCCCGTGCTCCTCCGACGTACGGACGAATAGCTTAGTGAGGCTCCTGCACTGATGAACATCTTGAAGGTGGTACGTATGCTATGTAGCCTCAAACTGAGTGTTTTGCGAGGATCGAACACCTACCGACTATAGTCTATGGTGAAGATACCCTTTTCACATTACGATGTTTTGCTTTTTGCTGGCTGGCGGAGGGGATCAGGTTAGGCACACAGTCTATCACAGAGGCGACTGAAGGATGCTACACCCTGTCTGATTCAACAGAGGTCAAAGCACCTAGTTGAACAATAAACCTGCAGACGAGCGGATACCATACCCCAGTTCCGTGTGTTTTTGCTTTTTCTTTCTTCCCACTCATGGCCACGAGTGGCATCTCTTCTTTGCTGGATGGAACTGTCGAATGCATAGGAACCCCGATCTGGAAAGGGATCACCGGTCTAGAACGAATGATGAAATTACTCTGAAGGGTATTTTGTGACATCTTCATCCACTGAAAGGCTCTTCTCCACCTTCCCCTCACTTGTCATACTCGCACAGCCTTGTTGGAGCGTACCCCGAACCAATAACACTTGGTAGCCTTGCCTGCGCTTGTTGGATAACAAATCTGACTAGAAGATAGTGACTGTAGGTGTATGATCAAGGCACGAATGGACCTCGACGACAGGTCCATGAACCACTACGGCGTAATGATGAACGACGCGGTATACGAGCGCCTTCAAGCCCAGGTTCCCAACACGTTACTATTAGTGGCCTCGTAGTGTCAGTGGGTAAATGCAAATTGTCTTACAGAGAGGGGCTTATATTTAAAGGATTGTCTATAATAAACCGCTCCCAAGGCTTCAGACACCTCAAAATCTCACATTCACCTCAAGCCTGTGCAACTAAATTCATCCGCGGTCACCATGGGTAAGAAACACTTCAAGAACTGGCTGAACACCATCACACTCAATCCAGCCGATTTTCCTGATCATGAAAAGACTTTATACAACGATGCGGACGTGCACATTCGGCTGGACTATCAAGGAGTAAGTTCGCTGCCCCTATTATTAGGGATTGGAATCGGGTGATTGGTGTGAGAGGCATAGAGGTAATTTTGAAACCAGCGCAATACTGCTGAGGGCCAGTTCATTCATCGCCTCGCGGTTCAGAAAACTGGAGGGCAGAGGAGCAGCATTACGACTTCAAGGAAGCCAAATGAGATAATTGCCCGAGTGGATGCAAACACCACTGCCACGTGGGATCAAATCAAGAAAGGTCTTATTGAGAGTTATAACAACAATGGCAAGGAGCTTCAGGGCGTCGTGGGTGGCGGATGGAATCCGAAGTAAAGACCGTGCTCGCAAAGATGCATAGAGTATATTCCACCACAACAATGTGTATTTCCTAATTAATTTATGGGAACGGATTGTATTAGGAGGATGCGTCTTCACCTTTGGGTTTTACTTCAAGTTGTCCTGTTGTTATCGTGATTTTCCTTCCTGGCATGCACTCACTACCTATCCGGGTGTTGTGTCAAGAATATACAAGTACTATGTATAGTAGCCAAGCGAACAACATTCAGGTATCAATTAGTATTGTGGATACCCGGGTGTAAATCTGTCACGAACAGACCCGGAGCCAGGCACACCCTTACCTCATGCTAGACTGGTAAATTACTGGACTATTCTAAGCAATCCACGTAGAGACTCCTACGGCCTCTTCAACAACTACAGAGTAGTTAGATAACTATTTGGATTTAATTGATGACTAATATCTGACTCATTCAGCATGTCCGCCGCATGCGAACATCCTCCTGTAACTCTTTCTCCTCCATCGACGTGGATGTTTCGGTATATCAGTTCTAACCCAAAGGCAAATGGCGTTTTCGCATCTCTCTAAGCCACGTCTAGAATGGCACACAACCTTCGCTGGATCCTCGCCAGTTTGGCCCTCGGAACCAGCAATCTCGACTATTCTTTCGATTGCCTCGGAAGCATTGTCCGAGCATCTCCAAGTGGGGGATGTGACCTTCTTTGCCCAAGGGTCATTCAACAAGAATTATGAGATTGTGGCCCCAAATCAAAAGGACAGATTTCTTTTCCGCGTCACCCTTCCAGTTGATCCTTTCCTCAAAACGGAGGGTGAAGTTGCCACACTGGCATTCCTACGCCAAAAGACTAGCATTCCAGTTCCTGAAGTGGTTGCATGGAGCTCGACATCGGACAATGCCCTCGGTTATGAATGGATCCTTTTGAAAAAGGTAGAAGGTGTCCCGCTCGAGCAAAGATGGCGTGAAATATCTATTGAAAGAAAAGTTCAAATCTCCGAACAATTAGCAACATACGCCGCTGAGCTACGAGGCGTACCCTTTGATAAAATCGGGAGTCTTTACTTTGAGGGCACGAACGCCCGGTCTGAAAGAAGCGGCAGTACTCAAGACGTTCAACAGATCAAGTTCATGTCCGATTATCTCGGAAAAGGTGTAGAAATCGGGCCGATGGTTTTGCCATTCTTCTTCTTCAAACGACGACTCTACATTCACTCTGACCGTGGGCCATTCGCCAATTCTCATCAGTATCTAACAGCAAAGGTGCAAATGCAGACTGATTGGATCAAGAGTGGGGTTGAGATAGCACAATCCGATGCTAGCGACATCGACTCGGATTGTGACGAAGATCTCCTGGAGGAGGCACCCGAGATGCTAGAAGTATGTGAGGCAGCTCAGGATTTGATTGTGCGTCTCTTTCCCCCGACGGACCCTGACACATGCCATACACTCTATCATCATGATCTCAATCAAAACAATGTAATCCTGGATCCAATCAGCCATGACATCGTTGCTGTGATTGACTGGGAGATGACTTGCGTGCTCCCCAAATGGGCATCCTTCTACTACCCCAAGATGTTTCTCGATGTGGACCCAGTGACTGAGGATGAGCCGCCCATACCGGTGGACTACAATGACGAAAATGATTACACTATCATCCGCCGGGACAGATGGGACGCACGGATCCTTAGGAGGGCTTTTGATACCTACATTGAGACTCTGTGCAAAGATAAAAACGACACCACATTTACTCATGGCTTTGAAGAGAAGAGAACACTTGAGGATGCCATAGAAGACCTGACAGATAACTGGAGAGGTGCGCGAGCAAGGCTGAAAGACCTTCAAAGTCAAGGTGTAACAGGAAATACTTGAGTCGTCATCTAAAGTCCAGGTGTACAAGGAATTCTTTCAAACTGACAGGGGAGGGGATAGGGAAATTGACTAGAAAGGGGCAGATAAAGGTCCGTAATGGTTCACCTATAATTTCAGCTAGGTCAATGGCAATTGTAACCATGGCATTCTGCATGCTCTCAGAAAGAAATGTAATTATGTGCATGTGGTCCATGGCATTGTGTATCAATGGTTGCGCCTGTGAGCGTTCAGACAGATGCAGCAGCCTCCGAATCATAGTGACCAAAACTTCTCAGACCCTATTTTATAGGTTGAGCATAGCTATAATCCTCCATTTGATTGCTCGCTATCTATTACGATGAGTTGACGAAATCCTTAGAGCATTGATATTTATAGCATTGATAACCCCCGCTATGTCGCTAAAACCGCCAAAGCCTGTGTACATGAATATGCTGCAAGGCTAAAAAAAAAGAAAAGAAAAAGTTGAACTTCGCTTCGAGAAAAGAAACAAAAGTAGAAGAGACTTGAAGCTTCAGCGCAAAGCTAAATCTGCTCCATCTGCTTGTAATCCGGTAACGCCCAGGTTGTATCCTCACGGATAATCCATTGACTGAGGATATCCAATCGTAGGAAAGCAGCTACCCATAGGAGAATGTGTAAAAATGCAATTCCCCACGATGAAGATGGGGTGTAGTCCCAAAATGTGGAGCCCTTTTCGATTCCTTTCTGAACTTGCGTAATAAAAGGTCGATATGTATCGTCATACGCCTTGAGAGCAAGAAGCAGACGATCCTTTGATTCGAGCTCCTCCTGACAAAAGTTGTTGATCTCCCCCGCGAGGATATAAGCCCCCACCAAGCCTGAGGTCGTTCCCATGCCGGTGGTCGCCGATGGACAATACGCCGCATCTCCGACTAGGACGACTCGACCGGCAGACCAGGAGTCCATTCTGACCACTCCCAGACGCTCGCAGTAGAAATCATCCGCGCTCTGGAGCTCCTTCAGAACCCGGCCCGTCTGCCATCCTGCACCCCGAAAGATCTCCGCCAAGCCATCCTTTTCCTCCTCGATGTTTCCGCGTGCCTTATCCAGTCGATCTGAGTCAGTTTTACACGCCAGGTATACCTGAATGTAATGCGGGCTATGCCTCCGGGTGAAGATAAAGCGCCGCCCTGGAGCGATGTATATAGCCGCGTTGTACCCCTCCCCAGGTTGAATCTCCCGTGGCACAGTGAAATATCCCATGTGAACTCCCAATGGGTGAAACGGGTCAGGTACGGACCCGAGGATCATTTTGCGTGTGCGAGAGCCTTGTCCATCGGCACCCACCAATAGATCAAACTGGCCGTGGTTGCCATCAGAAAATTGTACGTCGACATGACTTTCCCGCTGCACGAAGCTCTCGACCGTCGTTCCGAAGACAAATGTTACGCGGTCCTTGATGGCGTCATATAATAGTCGACAGAGATCGCCTCGCATGATCTCATAATCGGTGGTGAAGCTTTGCATGCCCAACCCGGATCTATTGGCGGCGAAGTACGCCTTGCGTTTGCCGGTATGATCTACAATTGCCATACCCTGTTCCCGAATGGACTTGGCGCGGAATTGTTGCTCGAGACCCATTCGCCGCAAGACTGTGATTCCCGGTTCCCGGAGGTCAATTTGCAGACCGGTGGCACGCAAGGTAGAATACCGTTCGATGACCGTGACATGGTGGCCCATCTTTGACAGCCAAAAGGCAAGGGCATTGCCGGTAATTCCCGCGCCGCAGATGAGAACTTTCAGTCCGGCCATGGTTTATGCTTCTGTTGTAGTTTCTCGCTTTGTCTTCTGGATAACTTTGGATGCGAGATGGACTTGCAATGTGACTTGACTCTGTTTATATGCATTCGCAGTGCATCTAGAGACATCTCGGGGTTTGACAAGAAAGGAAATTGCCATGGCTATCTCCGAGAGGGTAAGTCCGACTGTCTTTCGATGCACGTCAAGTGCAAGGATGAGTATGAAACTAGGACACAGTAAATCCCCGAGCCGAGAAGGCAACAGTCGATCATCTAAACCTAGAATCCTGCCCGATGATCTTGGCACAATGGATCCAAACTTCAATGCAACGCTGCCCGATTTGGGGATCCCAACAAACATGACAAACATCATGGAAGTTCCTCGTATTTTGATGTGTCGGCAGATTTTCGGTTTCTATCGACTTGATTGTTCTTGCCTCTATGAGTATGGGTGGGAGAGGCGGGATTGGACCAAACTATATTAGAGATATTGAAGTGAGGAATCGACATAGCAGATGCCACATCCGCCTTCTGAAGGGAAGAATTTCGAAGGTATATATGTACCTCTTCGGATGCTGGATCCAGTTTGATATAACATAGGTCTAACTATCTTAGCGACTGCGCCGGAGCTCGCTCTCAAACCGGAGCTGCTACAGGGCATGAGCCTTTGGAATCTTAGTAATGATCTCCCATGCTATCATGAACTTGTTCACTCCATTGTTCAAGGTATCTTCTTGACCTACCGGCGCAAGCCATGCATATGTTTAGCCTGTTGAATCAAGCCCCACAGGTTACCATGTTCTCGCCCAAGGCCCATTCCCTCTTAAACGGATGTACCTCGTGGTCTCCATCCTCCAACGGATCAATACAGCTGCTCCGCCTGACACTCCGACCCAATGCCAAGCTCTGTTCGTAAGCCCGACGTTTGAGTTGGCATGGACAGTGCAGGGTATTGCCCGAATGTTGGCGTCGGCAATGCCATCGGTGAAAGTCTACTGCTGTCCTAGAGGGTTCCGTGATGCCCACGACAAGGTTGTCGAGCTCCAAGGGTCGGGGATAGGGCGGGTTCCCGATATAGTCATAGGGACACCTGGTCGGATCCGGGAGAGTATCGCTCGTGGATGGTTGAAGACTGACGCAGTTACGATGCTCGTCTTTGAGGGAATGGACGATATTTTAGATAACGGATACGATGACTCTGTTCTACTGGAGATCCTTCAGATGGTCGCGCATACCAACACGCAAGTCGTGGTGCAATCCGATAGCTTGCACATGTGGAGAAGGATTTGGAAGCTAGTGAGTGATTTTATGCCTTCCCCCGTGCGGGTATGGGATATTTAGGGCTGTCATAAAAACCACCTTAATCCTTCTGTGAGCTTCTTACTACGTTGATCGATTCTTCGCCGATGCTGCAGGATTCCGACCAGGGGAAATAATATGGCCCGGCCCGAGGTTAAGATTTTTTCCTAGTCGAAATCCTTTGTATTTAGCCGCAATGATATTACCCAATCAGACCACGAACCGAACTTCAATGTCACATAATGTAACTAATAAAATAATGTAAGACTTTGTGGCGCTGCGGATACACACAATCCATGCAAGCCCAGGCGAACCTTAGTAGCAATATGAATACCTTGGTTGTAGATTCGATTCTGTCCAGCTTAAGGTGGCCGAAATACAAGGAAAAGGAATACGGTACTGCCCTACGAAGAACCGTACCAGATAGATCCATAAAGATTGAAGCATTGCACAGGCGGAATCGGGTCGATAACCTCATGTAGATCTCTGACAGAATTTTCTTGGACATTTTCCGAAAGTAACCACTAGGGAAATCCGGATACCACTCGGTTTCCCGATTCTTCATCATTGGCTGATGGAAGTCGGTGAGTCACTAGACTTTCAGGAACTGACCAATGATATTGGACTAAACCCCTGCAGGCCGCATGCGGATTGTAATCTGATTTCAGCCTTACCAACAGTGGTAATCTATGACCAAATACCCCAGATTGAAAAAAAAAAAATGACTGAAAAAAAAGTGAAGAGATTGGTTACATTGCATTCATCGTTGCTCATTAAACGTCTAATGTTACGATCTACGTGTGGCATCTTTCCCCGTTTCTCTCTAAGCACAAGCTCCAAACAGCTCACCTCACTATGAGCTGCCCGAGAGAAATAGTTGATTCCAGTCCAGGCAATGGCGGTGGTGTGGGCAAGATGGACACCCCAAAACCCAATGGTTGGTCTCCAGATACCAAGGTACTGGCCGACGCGCTGGACGATGGAGAGCAGCAGATTATCGAGGCCGGTGAGGCCAAATATCATCGACTGGGTTGGAAACGCCTCACGATCATGCTGATTATCGAGGCCATCGGTCTGGGAGCGCTCTCAATTCCGTCCGCCTTTGCATCCTTGGGAATGGTTGCAGGGGTGATCTGCTGTGTAGGCATTGGGCTAATTGCTATCTATACATCCTGGATCATTGGAAAGGTGAAAATCGCCTTTCCTGGCGTCCGACACTATGGCGACGCCGGTGGTCTATTAATGGGCCGTGTGGGCAATGAACTGTTCACCTTCATGTTAATCCTGCAGCTTGTCTTCCTCACTGGGTCAAACTGCTTAACGGGTACGATTGCATGGCGCCATATCACGGATGCCAACAATGTCTGCTCCGTGGTCTTCAGCATTGTTTCTGCCGTTATTCTTTTGTTACTATCCATCCCGTCGTCTTTTGCCGATATGGCCTGGCTGGGCTACATTGATTTTGTATCGATTGTGGCCGCTATTGGCATCACGATCATAGCCACTGGTATCCAAGGCACTCAGTCGGGACTCTCTAAGGTTGACTGGTCGGCCCTTCCACAAGGCGACCCAAGCTTCTCGGATGCCTTTATTGCCATTAGTAACATTGTATTTGCGTACACGTTCGCCAGCTGCTTGTTTTCTTTCATGGATGAGATGCACACCCCGAAAGACTTCACCAAATCGATCTGGACCCTTGGTATACTCCAGATCGTTATCTATACCGTCACCGGAGCGACTATCTACGCCTTTGTCGGTCAAGAGGTCCAATCGCCTGCGCTCCTCTCCGCTGGCTCACTCGTGAGCAAGATTGCCTTTGGCATAGCCCTACCGGTGATCTTCATTTCTGGTGCGATCGGAACGATTGTTGCGGGGCGTTTAATTCACGGTCGTATCTACGAAAACAGTGTGACCCGTTATGTTAATACAACCAAGGGCTGGATTACCTGGTTGGCTCTAATCACGGTTCTTACGATCCTGGCTTGGGTGATTGCAGAGGCGGTTCCATTCTTCGATGATTTACTCTCGATCACGTCGGCGTTATTTACCTCGGGATTTTCGTTTTATCTCCCCCCAGTTATGTGGTTCTTCCTCCTTCGCAAGGGCAGCTGGCACTCTCGGGAAAACCTTCTCTTCAGCATTGTGAACCTCCTTGTGTTCATCTTTGGTCTCGTCGTGTTGGTCGGGGGCCTTTATTCCAGCATCCAGGATATAGTAAGTTACCTCTCCCTTTCCGAATGAATGCGTGCTCACAAATACTTTCAGAGAAACAATTATCGTACTGGCAATGTCCACAGTCCATTCACCTGTGGTGCGGTCTAGAGCCTTTTCAGTACCAAAATCTTTTTATTCATCCAAAACCCACGACCCCATGACCCATTACTCAACGGACAGCTGAATAGCAAGCAATGTATGCGCAGATACACCTCTAGAAGCTTAATGTACATAGACCGCCATGAACAGCATATAATTTCAAATTGACGCATTATTACCTCAACAATGTTTCACGAGCAACCACGTCGGGGCTGATATGGGCAAATTCCTGTTGCCTCCACGTTGTCGCTAGAGCATTGCCGTGTTCAACCTCCATGATTTCACAGGCATACAAAGATATCCTCCAACACAATTATATAGGTATTCGATTTCGCTCATAACTGATCGGCGATTCCGGCGTGCACATCTTTGACGGACGCCTCAGGCTACCAATGGAGTGGAAGTCCTGAATGCTTAAGACAAACCATGACAAACATGCTGCCCTGGACTACTACTTCCTCTCTCTTTCTTTCCTTCATACGAAGTGCAGAGCGTAAATTGCAAGATTGAAGGAAAAAGCGGTATAAAAGCCACCTGGTCCATCATTTCATAGCTAGATATGCTTTTGTCAAATATATCCCTCAACTTACACCATGTCCTGCGAGGCAGTTACTTGAGTCTACCGCAATACATATCCTGATATAGCGCGTATAGGATATTGCTCTTCCGAATTCACTCAGGCAATAGAAGCACTTTGTCTCCAGGCTCAACCATGCCACCACCTATTGTCCGTTGGTGCATATCGGCTATGTGACATGGCTGGACAATGCCGGTAGCCAACGGAAGTAGGAGCGGCTGAATGTTTTTGATTACCACAATAGAATGGCTACTTCCGAGGGCACAGATGCCACAGCGAAAGATTTGATTATGGAAAGTATGCTTACCCTGCCGGGCGAGGAGATATATACTGTCCGCGAATTACAAATATCGCAAGTTCCGTGCAAAATGAACTTCTTGCTATACACATTAACACTATGTGACTGGCCGCACCGAGCGAATCCCGAGGCTTTGTGCGAGGAAAGTTCGTCTACCACTCTCGAGCCAGTTGCTCCTGAATTCCTTTGACATGCCACACTCCTCCTTTACCCACAATCCATAATTCATGTTCCCCAAATGCCACACTCACAGCCCCATTCTCACCCCCGCCGACGCGAATTGTACCCAGCGTATTCCCTGTGTCGGGATCAAGAACGTCAACGCCATCCCCGGCACCGCAGAAGATCAACCCATGTCGCGACACCCGCACGCCATCATAGAAGTAGGAAATGGGATTTGTGAGGAATCTTTGATTTGACAGTACAGAGCCCGCCTTGGAGACATCAAACGCCGAGAGCTGTCTCATTCCATAAGGATCCGTCCGCTTTGGAAAGTACTTCGAGACCCCTGTCTCCGGGATGAATAATGTGTTCCCGTCAGGGGATATGGCGACACCATTGGTATTACCAGTGGTACTATAGACTACCTTGGTGCGAAAGGTGGATTTCTCGACGAAGTAGACGGAGGGATTTGTTGGGGGTGTGAATTCAACAATCTGTCGGCCCTGTTACGCGAGTCAGCAACCTAAACGTTTGACCGAGGGCATGATAGCTTGAACATACCCAGCCTGATCTTGAATCTGTTAGCCAGAAATTACCCTCCCGATCAATCTCCAGGTCGTTGAAGCCCGCAAATGGCTGCACCAGGTAGTTGTTCAGCAGTGTCGTTTTCTCATGGCTGTGAGGGTCGATCTTTGCTAGCTCCCCTGTTTGGAGGTCACTATATCCATCCGTTACCACGTGGATGGAGTGATTGTAGTAGACACACCCATGAACGTTGTACGTGGGAGGGTCGGTGGTTATGTTGTGCAAGGTATTAGTCTCCACATCCAGGAGGTACTGCCACGAGTGAATGCCATCGTCGCCGCCTGGTGGGCCCCATTCGACAAAAAACAGTTGATTGGTATCTTTGATATAACATGGCGCTTCGTGAACCTGGTAGGCTAGTTTTTGAACATGCTCGACCGTTGCGTTAGGGCCAATGATATCGAAGAACCGCGAATCATAGGCTACAAAGTCAGTGGTATTCAGGTACGATAATCTATCTCCGTCAGTGCCTCATATTAATCGCCGAGAAGGGGCTACCTCCTTACGCTGTGCTAAGGCCTTCATCCGAGATCTCCGAGGTTGCCCAGGGAGCCTCAAACGCCGTCCGATTAAACTGGCCAGGAAGATTGGCGAATGCGGCGAGCGAAACATACGCCCACTTGGCAAGGCTGTTGTTCAGGAGCGGCGGAAGCGAGTTCAGGTACACATCCATGTTGTAAGTATCCCTTTTGTTTGGGGAAGAATACACTCGCAACTGTTCTTGGGGTAGGAATTCTACATCAAGATTAAATACACCAGTTTCACCGCGCAAACCATAGTCTATAGAAGCTATTCGAGCAGCCATCCGGGGTGCTCCCAACATAGGCCGGATGCTTCCAGGGCATGACTCGCGCGACAACAAAGGAGCCGACACTAGCAATGGAATAAACTCCAGCCATCGGTCATTGGCCTTGGCCTCTCCCCGGGAGTCCGAGCTACGGACAGACCCCGTGGGGTCAATCCGGGGAGGAGATGTTGTTCCCCGCAATTATCATTTCCTAATATGATGTTGGCTATCCTATGCTTGTGTGTGCACTGGGGGACTCCCTCAAGAATCGAATCCCCGCGGAGGCTCGCCTACATAACTGTCCTACAACGTCATGTGGAAGTAGGGCTATGCGTATCATCTACATATTGAAAAATGAAAAATAACAACATTAAAAAAAAATCAGAATTAAAACTAAAATGACAACCCCTATCCATTGCACCTCGGGACTGATCTACCAATCATAAAGCGCCTTTGGTGTCTCTACCATCAGGGTATGCCATTCATCCTCTGACAACCACGACCGTAGACTTTTCAGCCATGCGTGGTCGTCCACCTCAAGGAAAGGGGTCTCTTTCATTGCCTCGTCATACGTCCGGACCTTCATACGTGGCGTGTGAGGCCTTCATCGTCATAAAAATGTTAGCCGAGGCACCGACTCCCGGTATGCATCTCACTTACCAGTCACTCCCCCAGAGGACTTGTTTTGGATTCGCATCGATATAAGCTCGGACCAATGGTTTCAGGTCGTCATAGAAAGGTGCTTCATTGCTCACGCGGTACGGCGCGCTGAGTTTGACATACAAATGCCCGTTTCGAACCAGGTCCATTATGTCTTCAAATCCCACTTGGCGGGTCACATCTCCCTCGCACTCGGGTGGAAGCATGCTTGGACCTTTTAGTAACGCAAAATGATCTGTAATCAGGCGAATTCCCGCAGGAGTGATCTCCTGTTCAATCACTGATCTTAAGTCCTTCCAGAACTCTGGATGAGTTTGTGTGAATGCCATGGTCCACCCCGGACAGTGCTTTCCAATCATGTGGGCATGTTCCCGAAGTGCAACCTTCTGTAGCTCAGCATCATGCATAGCCTTGTACTTGTAGACATTGACTCGAATGCCCCGGATGCCGGCATTGTGCATCTCCTGGAGCTCTTCCCGGGTAACTGTCTCAGGATCAATGACTCCAATTCCCTTCGTGGAGGATTGCCCTAGCAGCTTGACGAAGCTTTTCAAGGATTCTACGTTGGCCCCGTACGATAGACCATGCGTTAATACCGAATTGGTAATACCCAAACTCTTCTTGAAGTTGATGAATTGCTCAATGGTTGCAGGTGGAGGCGTCAAGTGGCGGTCGGGAGCGTACGCAAATTGTGCGGCTGAGTCGTACCACTCTTGTTAGCAAGTCTTGTTACAGTCTCATCTCGGGGGAGAGCTCTCACGATCGAAGATATGGTGATGGGCATCCCAGCATCCATGCGGGAACAGCTCCGCGACAGCATTATTCTGACTTGCTACAGTCATCGTGGAGAAATAGCGGTATCTGCTTTCAGTCCGGTGAGCATCTCACTACCGGCCGCATCGTCTACCATTGCGCTTAAGTTATTTACTCCGGAATACCCAGACTCAGATGGTGGAGCATGACCTACTGGGTCTGGAGCTGTCCCCATGTCCAGGCTCGCGGGCTACTCCGGCCGACTCCACTACCGCCTCCACACGAACGGATTCTTCCCGCCCATCCCTTCCTGTGGGGGTTGGCTGCTCCGGTGGGAAAAAAGAAAAAGAAAAAAAGGCGCAATAGCGAACCGCGCAACTGACGGCGCGATGATGAAAGATAGGAAAGAGAGCCGATATCGTCCAATTCCACCGCATCGGCGCAAGGCCAGCGATTAATGATGCATGATATAATTTCTCCGATCATGGAACTGGAGGGTTATCAGAGGAAATCGCAACCGCCATGTCTAAGAAAGAAGTTGCTCCATGGCAATCCATAGTCGCCGGAGCTGCAGCTGGCGGCGCTGAAAGCCTTCTGACGGTAATACTCCCTTCCGAGTGACAATCAGGCTGAAGCTAAACGCATCGATAGTATCCCACTGAATATTTGAAAACTCGGCAACAATTACTGAACCCCAATGCCACGAGACAGTCCCCAGTACAGATATTAACCGCTACGATCCGACAACATGGTATTCGCCATCTGTACACGGGCAGCATGGCCTTTTGCGTCTCCAATGCATCTAAATCAGGGATTCGTTTCTTCGCGTTCGATAGTGCGAAGAAATGGATGCCTACGGGCTCGTCTGGTAAGGTGACATCAACGGGAAACATGTGCGCAGGTCTAGTTGCAGGAGTTGCGGAAAGCGTACTCGTTGTCACACCCGGGGAAACATTGAAAACCAAGATCATTGATGACAGAGCGGGCGCGAAGTTATACAGGTCGGCCAGCCATGCAGTTCGTACTATTCTCTCGACCGAAGGCATATCTGGATTGTATCGTGGGACGCTGCCCGTCACGCTGAAACAGTCATCTAATGCCATGGTACGATTTACCAGCTACAACTTCTTCCTTCACCACCTCACCACGTTCGCGACTGCGGGCGCAGGCAATAGCGCACCAGTCTGGAGTACCGTGATCGCCGGGGCGATGGCTGGTGTAGTCACGGTGTATGCGACAATGCCATTCGATACCATCAAGACACGCCTGCAAGCGTTGGATGGCTCTCAGCGATACCGAGGATCTGTGCATTGTCTACAGTCAATCGTCAGTACAGAAGGTACTTGGGCGCTATGGAAGGGGACGACTCCTCGTCTCGCCCGGCTTAGTGTTTGTCTCCACATATGATTCCTTTGGGTTAATGCCGCTGGCTTCTGACACATAGTTATAGATCTCGGGTGCCATCAGCTTTGCGATATACGAACGTGTGGTTCAGTGGACAGAATCGTTCCGGAGGTAGTAACAGTCAGGTAGAAAGGTTCTCCTTCGTTATATGTCTATTTCAGTAATGTCAACATTAAGTTAGATATCCTATAAATGAAAGAATTGGGTACTTTGCGGTATTTCTTCGAATGTCAAGATGTAAAGTCAAATATTGTGAGCTTAAGCGCATCAAGATATATATAGTGTTGAGTTGTCAACGATGCCTATGTAAACTTTAGTGCCCGTGATATAATACGAAGGGTAGACAGTGGGTAGGGACCAAGGATTGTCGCCAATAGATCGGAACTATTATCCCACCGATTCTATCTGACCCTACCTGATAATATTCTACTATCATTCAATGTATCGTTTTAGTCCGTCGGTCACTGACTCGGCAAGTAGGTTCCCTGACTCGGAAGGCCACGCCCAAGCAAACAATGCAAACCGCCAAGCCATTTCGCCCCCGGATCTTCCTCGGGGTGCATACAATGCATGATCTTGGTTACTCTTCCCCACACCTACATGGTCTTGGGGCAGAAATCGTTCGTACAGTTTGAATGGGCTTGTGAATATCTAGTAAACCATATGGCACCTACAGATGCCGATGCTGTCCAACCAGCACCGTCGAAGAAGGTGCGGTTAGCCTGTCGTCGATGCCGTGCCAAACGTGTGAAGGCGAGTAACGTCCGAGTAGTAAGAACAAAAATTGCTTGACGACCCCAGCTAACGCTCTTCCAACCAGTGTGATGGAAGTATCCCAGCGTGTGGGAGCTGCGCTCGTGCAGGTGTTCCGTGTGTCGATGTTGATGGCCGGAACAATGGACTATCCATCCCAAGAGAGTATGGGATTTTGGCATTCCTTTGGGTAGACAATGACTGACGATAATTCAGCTTCATCACACGATGTTACGCCAGGATTAGCTGGCTTGAACAGAGACTGAAGGAGATCGACCCACAGTTCGATTTATCTCAAGGGCCTGCAGTCGACATGACCAGTGCGGATGAAACAACCGCACCTCATCCTGCAATGTCTACCAGCGGAACAGGTCAGGAGCGCGCACATGCACCGTCACCGGCACTCGAATGTGCAGATCAACCCCTTGTAGAAGCCGCCACTTCTTCAAAGCGCTCGTATTCTATGGCAGAGGGGCCAGAGTTGGAACAACCTATTTTCGTTGAACTGGGCATGCTCTCCTTGCATTCCGATTCCCGACAGAAACACTATCTTGGATCGTCATCTGGTCTGCTTTTCACGAGACTGATTGGCATTGATAGCGAGCGAAGTTCTACCGCCAGCCCAGAGATGGTATCGACGTCCTCTCGCAGTGGTCATCGTCGCCGCTTGGCCCCTGGTCGTAGTCAGTCGCGCGAGGTCCACCAAGGTCTCTATGATCGATTAAGAGAGGTAATTGTGCAGAAAACCGTTGTATCTTGGTAACTGGGAATGCTAATCGTCACTAAGGAATTACCGTCCCCGGAGGAAGCCAGTGCCTTGTTGGAAGTCTATTTTCAGGTGATCCACGTGGATCACCCATTTCTCCATCCTCACTCAGTATGTAACGCGTATCGGGCACTGAGAGATTGTGCAGACCTCGGCTGCAATGGCCACATAGGACCCAATGGCTGGATTGATACTATCAACGCGTTCTCCTACAATGGAAGATACGATGTCACTGCCGGGAACGAAACCACACCGATCTCTATTTTCACAGCTACGTTCCATCTTTTTATGGTGTTCTCACTCGCGGCGACCGTTATGACTCGGAACAGAAGCTTCGATCACTCCCCAGACAAGTATTATCGGGTAGCCATGTCAGCTGCCTCTGAATGCTTTTGCAGCATCTCCGTGCCAGCTCTACAAGGAGTGCTGCTGCTAATGGTCCAGGGCTTGATTGGCCCTGCCGCTATCAACATCTGGACGCTCTCGTACATTGCCACGTCGCATTGTATTGACTTAGGCCTCCATCGAGAGCCCACAGATTACTCTGAACTCACCCCCACAGCATTGACGAATCGCCGGCTTATTTTCCATACAGTCTACTCTCTTGACCGGTACGTTACCGTCCACCCGACAATGCGCTCTGTAGAATACATGCTAAGAAGCCTATCATAGCTCCATATCAACAATTCAAGGAAGGCCTCTGGGTATCCGGGACGAGACCTTCGATGTAAGGTGGCCGAAGTTTGAGGAAATCCAAGAGTTTACATACCCAGTCGAACAGAGCAATGAACTCGATGTACAGCTGCCGTCGCCAGAGACCATGGCTTTGTGCGTTTATCGCTTCCGGGTCGACTCTTACATCTCGGAAATAAAACTTCTATTCTATAGGTTGCCCGCGCAAGGGGATGCCACGATCTGGCCCACGGATCTAGCTAGCATACAGCAGCGCATAAAGGCTAAGCTAGATGATTGGCTAGCGGAGACGGCGAGTCTTCGGCCGACGTCAAACATGCAGGACATCGAGGATAGAGATTTGAAATTCCACTGCGAGCAACTTAAACTGGAATCATTGTACCATTCAGCCATCACCCTGCTTTTCCAGCCGTCCCAAGTCTTTCGATCACCCTCAAGGGTTGCTTTGAACCTCTGCTACCAGAGCTGTCGGAGGCGCTTACGGATATACAAATACCTTAACCATGAAGAAAAGCTGCACTATACCTGGCGGCATGTACATGGTATTTTCTCTTCTGGGGCCACGATCGTCTATTGTTTTTGGGCTTCGCGTGACCTCCTAGAAACGATACCGTTTTCGGAAGCTCTGAGCGATCTTCGCACATGCTCTAACCTGCTCAGCGTTGGCAGTCAGTGGTGGCCGTCTCTTCGTAGAGGAAAGGACAGTTTTGATAACATGGTAGATCTCACAATCAAGCGACTGAGCCAGCTACAAACCTTGTCTCAGCTGCAGCCGCCACCACGGGCACAACGGCGACGGGTCGTCCAGTCTTCAGATCCGCCACCACTTGCATCGAATATCGGTGCCATGCCGGATATGATCCACGCGCAGATGGGGGCACCCGTTCTTGACCACCATCATGCTGTCGTATATGACTCTATCAGCTCTGTTGACGCCGCAGCCACGGCCACAGAAACTGTGCGAACCGAGTCATACCAGGAACACCATACACAGAGTGAACCTGACCCGTTCCTATCACAGATTGGGGGTCTTCTCCCGGCTGACTCCGACCAATCTACTATTGATTCAGCAATGGAGGGCTTCTTGGTGGAATACTTGCATGGTGACTGGGGCTGGGATCCATTCTCTAGCACTAGCAGCGTGGAAATCCCAGACTACGTATGATACGCGGAACCATACAAACTGGTCAGATTTCTCCGAACCCAGTGGGGCTTGTAGCTTTATGCTATACGAAAGTAACTCATTGCGCCATCTATCTATTTCCTCAATCGCTTGATCGTGGGGCCCATTTCCTCACCCCTTTCTAAACACAACCGGGTCTTCTCATCAATCTCATAGCGTTCTTGGCAAAGTCGGACGCAGTCTTCCACCTTGTCCGCCGGTACTGCCACCACACCGTCCATATCACCCAACACATAGTCGCCTGGGTTAATGACCACCTCTTCGCCAATTTCGGTATTCTCGTACGCGACTGGCACGTTCAGCTCTGACGACCTGGTGAAAGTATTTGATCCTAGGATGCTGATTCCGCGCGCAAAGAGACCCATATTCAGCTCTTGGTGCTCATTGATATCTCGGAAGCGGCCGTCAATAATGACCCCAGCTGCACCCTGTTTCTTAGCGCGGGTGCTCATTAGGCCGCCCCAACATGCGCTGATCAATCCTTTTGGCTGCGAAACGAAGACGACGCTATCTCGAGGTATGTCATCAACAAAATGGCGCTGGGGGGAGGGAGCGGTTTTGTCGTTGGCATGGACCATGCGGACCGTGTAGGCAGGGCCGAAGACCTTTGCTTTCGGGCTCGTCGGCCCAGGAGAGAACATTTTTAACCCCGACAGGTAGCCACCACAGGGCACTTTAAGCTTAACTAGTGCATCGCCAATCTATTGTTCAATTCTGTGAGCCTTTTCCACTCGTGACGTTCTCTGGATTGTGTGTTCGGTGATGAGTAGCTTAACTCACATCGCAGGAAGTGAACTGTTGGAGAGCCCGGATGGCACTGGATCTGCTGGCCATTGTGATTGGGGTTTGACCAAAGGATAAATTGCGCGTTCTATTGAAGAAGGGAGTCGAGGCGAATGAGTGCAATACCACCGAGGAGGCGAGGGTTGAAGAAGTCAAGCTGAAAACGCCGACCAGCGGAGGAAAGCCGACTGAGGGTTCGGAACGATCCGAACGCTCGCTGATTGGTCCGGAGTAGTCCTGAGAGCTCCAAAGCTTCTCCGATAATGTACAAACTGGATCTCCAACTTGCCTTTTATTTTTTTTTCTCGTCTTCTTGACTCTCTCAGACATCTTCTCCTTCATGGTCTCACAAAGTGGAGGAGGATATTGACAATGCAGCGCTTTCTATCCCCTGTTTTACGTGCGGGACGACCGCAACCTCGTTTGGTCGGGGCGCCTATCAGAAGTCTCGCCACCCAGAATAACACAATCCCGGTGTGTATCCTACATTTCGCATACTGACCGAGGCTTTATGTTGACTTGTCTTGGAAATCAGCTATTTGGGGTCAACTATGGCGCGCAACTTAGTAACCTAGACGCAGTAAGGCAAGGCTCGAAGCGCCCTTTGACATTGACCGAGAAGCTGCTATACAGCCACTTGATCCCGAGCGATGATAAAATATGGTCATTGCAGGAAATTGATCGAGGGAAGACCATTTTGGAATTGCGGCCGGACCGCGTCGCCTGTCATGATGCTACCGCAACCATGGCCCTCTTACAGTTCATCAGTGCGGGCTTGCCGCGAGTCGCAGTCCCAACGACGGTCCATGGTGACCACCTTATAATCTCCGAGAAGGGAGCGGAGCCGGACCTAAAGCGGGCACTTACAGAGCATGCCGAAGTCTACGAATTCCTGAGCAGCGCCTCTAGGAAGTATGGAATCGGGTTTTGGAAACCTGGTTCAGGGATCATCCACACAGTGATTTTTGAGAACCACGCCCTGTACGTTTCCCCATCTTTTGCTTGGAGAGAGAGGTGTATATTCGTATAAGTACTAATAATTTGTGTTACCGTAGTCCTGGCGGCCTGATTATCGGTACGGATTCTCACACGCCGAATGCTGGCGGCTTGGCTATGATGGGCATTGGCGTTGGAGGTTCCGATGCAGTTGATGCGATGTCAGGAATGCCGTGGGAGTTGGTCACACCTCATATCGTCGGGGTGCGCCTGACAGGTCAACTATCCGGGTGGGCATCCACAAAAGACATCATCTGCAAGCTGGCCGGCATCTTGACCGTTTCTGGAGGCAAGGGTCGCGTCATTGAATTTTTCGGCCCCGGCACGGAAACTCTGGGGGCTACGGCCATGGCGACGATCTGTAACATGTCTGCAGAGATTGGCTCGACTTCCTGCATATTTCCTTACACCGCTGCGATGGAGCGATACCTTGCAGCGACGAAGCGGGCGCATTCAGCTCAAGCGGCACAAGAGGTCAAACAAGCATTGCTGCAAGCCGATGAAGGATCGGAACAATACTATGATCAGATTATCGAGATTGACCTGAGCACACTTGAGCCACACGTCAATGGGCCCTACACCCCGGATCTTGCCCATCCTATCTCTGAGTTAGGGAACGCAGCCTCCCAGAGTGAATGGCCCATTAACCTGAGCCATGCGATGGTAGGAAGCTGCACCAACAGCTCCTATGAAGACCTTGACAAGACGCGACAGCTCGTCGCGCAAGCTCGTGAGGCTGGGATAGCTAAATTTAAAACACCCTTCCTCGTTGCACCTGGCAGTGAGCAGATCCGTGCCACTGCTGAAGCAGATGGTATACTCCAAGAGCTGCAGGATGCCGGTGCCGTTGTACTGAGCAGCTCTTGCGGGCCTTGTGTTGGTTCGTGGGACCGCAAGGACGTTGATGTGCGGGGCAAGGAGAAGAACTCAGTGATATCCAGCTTCAACCGGAATTTCGTGGGCCGACACGATAGCAATCCAGCGACTCACTCATTTGTTACCTCACCAGAGTTAGTTACCGCGTTTGCTTACTCTGGGCGCCTTGACTTCAACCCGTTAACAGACAGCATTGCTGTGGAGTCCGTTGAGGGAGAGAAGTCCTTCCAATTCAAAGCCCCTGTGAGTCGGGAACTTCCAGGGCATTTTGCTACAGGAGAAGAAACTTTCCAAGAGCCTCCAAGTGATGGCTCATCATTGTCTGTAATTGTCGATCCGCAGTCCGACCGCCTGCAACTGTTGACCCCATTTGCACCATGGCAGCCCGGGTGTGCCACTGACATGGAACTGTTGATGAAAGTGAAGGGCAAGTGCACCACCGATCACATCTCACCGGCAGGCCCATGGTATAAGTACCGAGGTCACTTAGAGAATATTAGCAATAATATGCTCACCACGGCAACAAACGCATTCCTCCCTGGTAACGATCCACAAATGCTCGGCCACACTCGCAATCCCATTACGTCGGACGTGGAGGTTGTGCCTCAAGTGGCCCGTGACCTCCAAGGGCGTGGGATTCGGTGGTGCATTGTCGGCGACTTCAACTACGGCGAAGGAAGCTCGCGCGAACACGCAGCCCTGGAACCTCGTTATCTCGGAGGGGTGGCCGTAATTGCGCGCTCCTTCGCGAGGATACACGAAACTAACTTGAAGAAGCAAGGGATGTTACCTCTGACATTTGACGATCCCTTGGACTATGATAGGATCATGGAAGGCGATCGCATTACGTTGGTTGGAGTCGAGGATGGTGAATTAGCCCCCGGTCGACAGGTTACCATGCGCGTCGCTCCTCGAGAGGGATCCTCGTGGAATGCACAGTTGAACCACAGCTATCATGCTGGCCAGCTGCACTGGCTGCGCGCTGGTAGTGCCTTGAATCATATTAAGCATACCGCCCTCGCCAAGTAGGAGGGTTTTGTATTGAATGTTTATACCACTATAGATTTCACACTTGTACATCGTCTCATGCCGTTAGTTCCAATGATATTAAGAACATCCACCTTCATCGTCCACATGCCCTAGTGTCTCTGCTCAAGTGTTCGCTTCGATAGGACGCAACAATAATCGTATTAGCGGGGTTAAAAAAACGCGAGGGCAAGGGCCCCACCTTCGAAATGAATCTGGAAGGCATAACCACCACACTCGGTATTCAAGCCTTAAAGGAGCATTGCAATTGGAACTTCCTCATTGGCGATGTATACGTGTGGGGTAGTGTTGAATAAGCCTTTTCCACGGCACCGGAACACTCCTGCATCGGAGCACTCCAGACTCAACGGGCTCGGCACTAATGTCCCGGGTGGATACGATGGAGGATACAATCTGGGGTATGTCCGTGTAATAGACTCTGGCTAAGTGGTCAGCTTCCTTAGTGTGAGGACAAACCCGTCTATGGAGACTTCCACTGACTTGCCACCTCCACATCACGTCTGTCAGGCCATACTCGACGACACCGACGATGAGGTTTGAGCCCCGCGCAAACATGCCTTAGAGGTCAAGGATACTTAGGGTTGGAAGTTTTCCAGTTTCCCGCTACCCGGTCCTGTACTGAGATCAGTCCATGATCGTGTCTCCGGCTATTCGTTGCAAATCCCTTCTGTCTGTTTCCCATATCCTCCATCGACTCGTTCTTTCATTGTTGCACCTTTCTCTGTACACAATATTCAGAAGACATGGGTGCTGCCGGCGGTGGCTTCTCTCGGGATGCTGTAAAGCAGATTCCCGCTGAAGCAAAAAGACTGTACATCTGGCTTGCTGTGATTTGGTCCAGTTACTGCGGTGGCCTCCATGGATTCAATACATCAAACATATCCGGGGCCATGAGCTTGGATCCCTTTGTCCGGGACTTCCACTGGACAGATTTGAGCGATGCCCAAGTATCGAATAACAGTGGCTGGGCGGTCTCCTCTATGCTTCTGGTATGCTCCCCCTGGGTCTGACATCTTCTCATATCTTGAAGTGCTGACAGGAATAGGGGCAAGTGGTAGGAATCCTTATATCAGGGCCGCTGGGTGAAAGACGGGGGCGGAAACCCGTGATTATGGCAGCTGCCATTTTCTATACCATTGGTGCACTTCTGATGTGTGGAAATGTTGGTTCGTTCGCCGAATTGCTCGTGGGGAGAATTCTCTCCGGTATAGGGTCGGGATTCGGTATGACAGCCGGGCCTGTTTACATCTCTGAAGTCGCCCCCCAGGAACTACGCGGCATGATGACGACTTTCTACAACATCAATATCATGGGTGGTGTTGCGGGAAGCTACTGGATCAACTTCGCATCACAGGGTGTTATCTCGTCTCAATCTAGTTGGCAGTGGCGTACTACTTTTGTCCTGCAAGCTATTCCATCGGTTATTCTTTTTATTGGCTACCCTTTCTTTCCGGAAAGCCCTCGATACCTCATGATGCGTGGGAGGGTGGAAGCTGCCCGCAGCAATCTATCTCGACTGCGAGGCGGGCTAGATGAGTCCAACGATTACTTTGCGCGAGAGTGGATGGAACTGCAAAGCAAAGTTGACACCACGGCGGAGGCATCCGCTCAGTCAGCGCTCAAGTCAACCCTTTCTCTTCTAAAAACATGCATCTCTCATGCGCCCACACGCCGTCTTTTGATCTTTGTCACGCTGATTCAGACATTCTTCATCATGTCGGGAGGAAACTCCATTACCTATTACGCCCCGACAATCTTAAAGTCAATAGGCCTAAACTCCACACAGGTCCTTCTTTTCACTGCTGTCTACGGACTGATCAAAGTGGTCTCAGTCTTCCTCTATGCTTTCTTTTTTACGGATCGCTTTGGTAGGCGACCACTTCTTCTCATTGGGTCCGCCATGAACACGGCTTGCTTGCTCTACCTAGCCGTCTATCTTGGCGTTGCCGATCTGTCAAGTGCAGCTGCGCCGTCCCCAGCCGCCTGGGTCAGTATCGTGAGCATCTGCCTCTTTGCTGTCGGCTACGCGATTGGTTGGGCACCAGCCTTCTCTCTGACAGCATCAGAGATCTGTCCCACACATCTGCGCGGCACCATCGTCATGCTCACGTTCACGTACCAGAATCTGCTGAACTTCGGCATCACGAGAGGATTTCCCAACATGATTGTTTCTATGAATTCCTACGGACCGTTTGCCCTATTCACGGCGTTTACTGCGTGTGCCACTGTCTGGGTGTTCTTTGCTTTCCCTGAGTGTAAGGGACGCAGCATGGAGAGTGCAAGTGCATTGTTTTTACTCCCCTGGTATAAGATCGGGTTCCAGAAGGTTCCCACGCTTGGTGAGGAGGCAAGAGACAATGATGATGAGGAGAAGGTAATCTCCATTCATGATGAGGATATCAAGGCGAAGGGCAGAGACACGACGCCCTAAGGGATGGCTTTGGTTAACGATATGAACAGTTCATGGGCCCAGGATACGACTATAGCTATCAGATTTATATGAACTGTGCCTTTAGCCAATGTCTCCTTCAGGAAAGAATGAGGAATGAGTGAGAGCAGCCTAATACTAGTACTAGTGTAGCAAGCACAGCCTATACTTCTTCAATCATAGCTCCAAGGTAGGTTTAGAAAGCCCAGCGGGCCCAGTCAAATCTGCTTTATGCCCATTTCAACCGGACTCGACGAGTCATGTATCTCTCAGTAGATCTGCCATTTACTAGTTCGACAGTTTTAGTACAACAACACGCTTAGCTCTATAGAACCACGAGGCGATGAATAAATACAACCACCGACACTCAAGCTTTTTGTATGTGGAAATAGTAGAGGTCACCTGGTTATTGCTGAAGACAAATTGACCCAGTTAATATAAGATTAAACGTCACCTATCTCCTCAACGACTTGCTCTTATATTATATCTTATGCAAAATGATCATAGCCTTGGAAGCATTAGGGTCTTGATAAATGACAGCATACCATGAGTGTATGGTTGCCTCGTTGGCAGTACGGCAGATTCGATGGAAGGGGAAGGCGCAATGGACCTTCGTTTGGAGGTAGATTTTGCTATTGGAGCATAGGCCTGTAGACCAGATTCCTTTGGATTTTCTGTACAGAACAGCTTTGAAAGATACTATTTCCAGAAGGTAATCACCGAAGCTGGATAACCTACTGATATTTGCCATACGTAGTACTGACCAAGACATAGTTATAAACTCCGCTCTAGGATAGCTCTTACTACAGGGTAGGCCTATCGACTACAGTAAATAGAGGATAATGACTTACATGAGTAGCCATTATAGAGCATCCTTACCTCATATATATCGTCTTTGGCCCACAAGAGATGCCAAGGAGCATTCCTATCCCCGCCCCCCTCCAAAAGGCACTGATCGAGTGCTTTCGAGCAATCGCGCGCCTGGTTCGACCAGGGTTTCGGCGTGAAGTAGTCCTAGTTGGTGGCGCGGCCAGTGTCGCGCATAACTCGGTATATTACACTGAGGACGTAGATGTTGCGGCCCCAATGAATGTCCTGTTGGACATATGGGTTGGCGTGACGGCCAACAACCCCGAGTTCACCCTGGAGCCTGATGGTACGATCTGTTTCAATGCCCGCCAGGGATTTCCGGTCCAGATCAATCTGATCCAAATTGGCGATGGCCCTATCGACCGCATCTATAATGCGGAGCCCTTCTTTGAAGGGTCAGTAGCCTCAGTATCGGACCTATTACGGCTACGGGCCATGTCGTATGTCGACCGTGGGAAGTTTGGGGACGATGTAGATTTTCAATGGTTATTGTCGGAGGTGGCTCGAGGGGGCGAAGTTCTTCCAGAGCTTGATAATGAAGAGCGGGCGTATATCGCCAAGGCTGGAAGTTCCTTGCTAGGGAGGGCTGAGCGGCTGGTTTTACTGAGTGTACTGAGTGAAAAAGATGCACTTGTGGTTTTCAATAAGATGTAATTAAAGACATCCATTCTGAATCACTGCCTTCATCTGGTATTAAATGCAGGAAGCCTGTCTATTTCGACAAGTATAAAAACATATGATCCCTTGTGGACTCAGTTGGATACATGGGACTTTAGCCGCTTTAAAATACAGAAATGGGGGATGGATAACGAACTAAAAGTCATGGTAGCAAAATGCATTTGTGGCAGCTCACAGGGCTCTTTGCAGGTCCAAGTCGACGAGCCATGCAGGGTGTGTAGGAAAGTCATCGGATCCTTCGATAGCGGCATTGACAAACAGGGTATGACGCCCATGTTGAAGGGAATTCGCATCATCAGCACAGTGGCTGGTCAGGTAAAACGGCCGCGGGCCACTCGCCTTGATATTGCACAGCTTTTTGACTACCGTTGATTGACCGTTGTCGATATCTGTCAGATGGGACGGTTTCTCACTGATCGTCTTGCGCCATGTGATCAATTTGGCTCCCCAGCTTCCATGAATATGTCCAAAGCAGTGCATTCGCGGTCTGGATCGAGCGACCTTGTCAAAGAGATACTCGCAGCCTGCCCGCCGGCTAGACATGGACTGATCCAGGACGCCCCGAGGCGGGCCATGCGTCATAACCAGATCAACACTGCCAATTGCAAACTCGTGCCCTTCATCCGGGCTATACTGAAATCCCCATTCCCCAAACGACGGGGTGTACGGGCTGGCGTATACTGTTAAGGAAGCGCCGTTATTCAGAGTCAAGTAGTGGGTCCCTTCGTCTAAAAGTCGGATCCCGCTCTTCTCCTTCACGTCGACATGGTCAAATAGTTCTCGAACCTGCCCACAGTAACCATACTCTTTCTCGATCAGTAGTGGGTCGATATCTTGCAGCCTTTGGGCTTCGTGGATTTTGTTCTGAAACGCCGGGGGGTCGAGTGTGAAGTCATGATTGCCCGCGATGACGAGTTTCAGTGGGGCGTTGATCTGCTTTAGGAGATTGATGGCTGCTTTGAACTCATCCAGTTTGGATCCCATCGTGAGATCGCCACAGTGGATGGCTACATCTGCAGGCTCATTCGATGATGGTATAGAGTCGCGGCTGTGCGTGTCGGAGATGACGAGAAACCTCGTTCTGATGGTAGGTTGAGGCAGTTCAGCCATACCGAAGATGCCGGGTTAAAGACGATCCGTTGTTCCGCCAAGTAATACCAACTGTATACTAGGGGGTGTTGTGGCGTATGATTTAGCAAACATGAAGGATGAGGTTGGACACAAGAAACCGAAGACATCCATCATTATCACATGACACCTTTGCATCATTTTTATAGCATCAGCAATGCCTCTTGAGGAAATAGTGAAGTCATGGTAGCCTGAACAACCAGGCTAGAGAGCTCAGGTACGTCGTGGATATGGCCGTAGAACATGATAAACCGATTATCTGTTTTGGGTGTTCAATAATATACTGGCATCAATGTACTATCTAGTCTTCTCGCAAGCTTCCACTATCGTAACTTAAGCGTCACTACTGCCCAGTGAAATTTCATACAAACATTGCATTTCAGTGACATAGCGTTATCATTGCGATATCTATATACAAAAACGAGGCTATCTCCCCCAATCCTACGGGGCACCACGACTCATGATTCTCAATACCGACTTCAAACCAGACTTTAGCCCACCAGGAGCGTCTCACATAACCTCATTCCAGCACTTGCCACGGCCGAGTGCCTTGTCACAATCACTACCGGGGAAGTTCCTCCAGGTCGAGCCATTCTTCTTGCAGTTCGAGAACCATCCGTTGTAGTCCATGCAGATATCATGTCGCTTCTTGCACTTATCATTGTGGATGTTGAACTTGTCGCTGCAGTTCGGACCGCCATGGTTGTTCATGCAAGATTTCTTTCCCTCTCGCTTCGAGTGGCCGCCATGATGATCATGATCGAGGACAATCTTCTCGCCAAAGTCGTAGACGAGCACTTTACCATACTGGGTGTGTGGCTTTGCGGCCTTTGCAAGGTAAATAATACCGTCTTTGATGATATTGCCCTCGACACCCGTAATGGACTCAGTCTGTCTTCGGCCCAGCACCGAACTGTCGCCGTTGACTTGATCGAGGTCCAGCTCGCCCAGTGCGTTCGCCTCGTGGTGCTGGCCGTCATGCTCGACAAGCGCTCCATCGACGGGGAAGTAAGCTCGCAGTGTGCCGGACCCTTGGTCGTAGAAGTAGTTTGGCAAGTTCTTCCACACGTCGGGGTTCTTGTTGTAGTGGTCGTTCAGGTCGTCCAGCTCTTCAGCTGGGATCTTGATGGTTTTGTAGCCGACTAATTTGACAGTGTCGTTGCCGAGCGAATAGTCCAATGAGTTAATATAACGCTCTTCGAAGAGCCTTAGATCTCGCTCGGAGAGAGGCAGGCCATAAGAAACGTTGGCGGATATAGCAAGTGCTGTAAAGGACAGCAGCCTGGAAATGAATGAGGTCTTCATATTTAGAAACGACTCGTCAGTTATCTCGATGTTTGATAAGAAGGCTGTTGATAGTTTTGATATTTGTAGGGCATCTCGCGTGCTATTTATCTGCCATTCTCCAGCGGTATAATTCTATGTTGGCATCCGCATTCTTTACTCCTCACATACTCCCAAATTAACACGAGCTTTTCAAGCCGTTAAAATGCGTCACGCAGGAGGCCATCCCAGAAGTGATGAAGATTGTCCTCATCACGGCTAATTTAAGAAACTATACGACCTCTCACTCGATTTCACGGTCGTCACTCTTCTTAGACTGGAATGAATACGGAGAATTCATGTCTGAAGAACTATTTTTGGCACAGCCAAGAACGTCGATCGCGGGAGGTTGTAGTATCCAATCGTCTGGCAGTCTTTACGATGCCAATGCTGAATAGCCTCGCCGGTTGTATGCGAATACGAGTTCAGCGCACTGGGTGATGGCCTTGGCACAATTTGACGTCGCCTCGTATCAGGCCCTCACATGATGTAATATAGAAATTCACTGGTTTTTGACCGTGACTTCTGTAGTCGCTCAATTATAATGAGGGCATTGACGCGGAGTTGGTCCCAGGCCGAGGCTTTGTAATATGCTGGAGACTTGAACTTTTCAGAAAAAGGCATCATAGCGAGAGATCATAAGTTGGTGGCATTGCAGATCCGTCCTCGTATTGCGGGAGAGATGGGTTTTCATGCAGAAGACCCTCGGGCAGGCCTTCACCAGTCGTCACTTCGTGTAGGGAAAGAGGGTAAAACGCCTTGAAGGATTTCCACAGCCGTTTTCGATCCAGCAGGCTCCTTGTTTCCTGGTGGTAAGTGTCCTCGCCTGTGATGATCTCAAGTTTTAGTTGATGCCCAACAGTAATCGCCCTCTTCTTGGTAGATGGTCTGTAAGGTCGAGGAGGTTCCGAAATTGTTTGGTTTGGAAGCTCTGGCGCGGAGGAGACACGATATGAAGATATTTCTAAGCTGTCTACAGCTTTCGCGCTCCGTGGGATCATGATGCGGAACGCGATCTCATTTCCCCATCACCGTCTTCTGAGTTCGACTGAGTCGTTGGCAGGCTCCTGCTAGCAGTCCATCGCCCTTTCTGTGTCCCGCGTCCTACTTGGCGTACGCATTGCTTCTCGCATGTCGTGGTGTCCTCGTGCCCACCGACAGTAGTGACGGTCATCAACCGGACTGTCTCTTCCAGCCACCACCTGAGCTCCTTGATGACCACATACTTTATTTCCATAGGCCGATCGCCTGGGGCAGTTGTTCGACGCGCGATAAGGCTGGCAGAGTATGTTAATCTGGTGGCACTTGGGTCTGCAGATGTTTCTGGCATCAGGCACAGTTCTGTTGACAATGTTGCCCCATGATAGTTTCGAATGTGGCTGACACCGTGACCGGGACCAGGAAGCACGCGACGAACTATCTGGATCGGTCTCGTTGTGCTTGTCGAGGTTCCTGAGGGCCAGGTTACGGTGGCTGTGAGCGAGTAGGACACTTCCCCGACCATTGTCTTCATGGTTCCCGGTAGACTAGCAGGAATGGGAACAAGAAATTGAAATCGCAATAACCTCATGCCACAGTGCTGGTCATTTGCGGGCACCATTGGCGAGCCTTCTAATCTACACTTCATGACTGTTTCTACATCCGAACAGCCTCTTAACTCGCGAGTTGTATTGACTGGGTTCGCACCTAGGTGCCGCCTCGACAGACGCTTGAACAGGTGGGTATCCTTTTTACCGATAGCCATGGAGTCGCGCGTTCGGGTTGTTAATTCTTGATTCAAGCTGAGTGTAATCTCGGGGTCTTCTGCCTGATCGAATCTAGATGAAACTGGTACCAGAACGGACCCGGATAATCGAGGGCTATAGACCTCATTGCGAGACAACAGGGTTATGTGATGTGTACTCGGAGCGTCTAGATGCAGCTCCCCCAGTCTCACAGGACCGTCGGCGCATTGGGATCCATCGTGGATACGCTGTGTACCAAGCATCAAGAGTTGTTGTATCGTACAGACGACTTATTAGGATGATGGGAATACAAAGAGTTCTTGCCAGAGTTTTCACGGCCAGTGCCTGTCAATGCTTTTTAACATGTCAGTCAATTGTAGATAACTGCACCATGGCACAATGTGGAGGTGTAATAACGTGGGGCAGCTGCTTTCTTGACATGGTCCATACAGATCACGAATCTGGGGGTGCTAATGTATCCAAGTGGGTCCGCGGTAGTTGAAGCCCCCGAACGGGAAGCCAAGCGGTACGTTTATCCTTTGCGATTGAGATACAGATCCACTGCCTCGAGCCAATCATATACCTATCTCCCCTTAGCATCAGACAATGGAAGCCAACCAGGGCGAGATCATGGCTGCCCTTCAACTAGCCGTGAGAATCGTGATACAGTGAGCATGTAACCGGCTATAAAGGCCAATGGACGAAGCGCAAACCCAGAAAAGCAGAAGAAACAAAAAGGAAGAAAGTAGCGGAAATGGAAGCATAGAGCGAGGGAGAGACAAACGATATGTATATTTGGCAGACGGCTCTTATCTTTGTACTATTCATGTACCTGATACTGCAAAGACAACGCCTCCCGTCCAGTCGCAATACTCAATCAGTGCAGTTTAACTGTGGTCTGACCAAGTTACATGTCCAGTTTACGCTGGAATTATCATTGCTGATCGGAATTTCCTACTCAGGGCCGGTATACCTGTAGATAGCAAAGGTCCGGTTTATCAACCCTAGACCTTGTTCCACATAGTCTACGGAGCACTGATGCATCGCTGCTACGGCGTTGAAGCGACAGTGCCATACTGCCATACCGCAGGCGGACCGATATGTGTTGTTCGAGCGTGCTTCCTTTGTCTTCATCCCGCAATGTCTTTCCAATGAGCTTGTTGTGCGACACTGATCGAACTTGAAGCTGTTCTGGTTCAACCAAGACGACTAAGAAGGGTAATACATGGCCCAGATTGGAATTATCGTCATCTGTGAAGGCCAATGGACGTGGCCTAAGCCTCTATGTGTGAAGGCTGGTTGGAACAAAACACAGTACTAATATATGCAAACACAGACATCAAGATTGGCAGTTCTCTTCTGTTGGACTGTGACAATAACGGAGATCTGGATGGCTTATGCCTTCAATCCTCGTTTTACCACGCTTGGGGTTGCTCGGGCGTCGTTGGACCCTCCGCTGTTGCTCATATTAACTGACTGGGGTGAATTCGACACTCGCCTGACCATTCGAGCTCCCAAATCTTACTAATAGTGAGGCGGGATCCTTCACGATGCGTGCAGCCAAGACTTAAAAGCTGCCGAGCCTGTTCGCTGCCGATCAGATGACTAGTGTGGCCACAACGGTAGCCAACCCGGTCTGGTTTGAAGTTGTACGTAATTGTCAGTGCCGTTTGTCTTCCTTCTCATGGTTTTTAGAACCTGTCGGCGCTTGACAGGGCCCTAGGAAGAGAGGGAGTAGAAGTTGAAGATGTACGGAACTCGGAATCTCTCCATGTCCGGCTGGATTGCTTCATTCTAGAAACACTCACAGAAACACGAAACAAATCCGAAAACTCAATTAAATTAACGAAGCATCTGGAATACTAGCATTCTTTAACTTAGTTATTTTTTTAATTTATTACTTGAAAACTAATATCAAACCAGCCAAAGGTGAAACTCTTTCGCAGGTAAGCTTTCCTCAGGCACCGGCGCTAGACACCTTGTGGCCTTGGTCGGGAGGTCAGCCGGTGGCCAACCGCGAAAGTCGGAAGCGAAGCCGGTTCAGGTTATCATGGGACCCAGCCTTCAAGAGTCCAGCCCTCACTACTAGTTGCTAGGCCCACGTTACTAGGAGACACTAAATCTAACAATAGACGAAAGAGAATACAAGATAACGTAGCAAGAGAGAAGGGGAAGATAAGATAGAATTTACAAAATTACAATCACTAAGAAGAAACAGGAACAAAAAGCGACCGAAAGTAGGGTTGCAGGACAAGAATGTCTCTCGTCGCCACTGTAGCAGGAACAAAAGAGCTACATCCAGGGTCCACACACTGGGCGATGCCGCAGATAACATTTTATATCAAAGTCTGGACGGACATTCCAGATCTGGAGATGTTATCCCCCTCGACCCACATCTGGCCTTTCTTTGGTTCCTACCCCGCATTAAACTCGAAAGGAAAAAGTGAGTTATCTCAGCCTGCATGACGGGGGCATTGGCACCAGAAGGAGCGTTACTAGCACACTGTTCGAGAAAAAAAAAGGAATTGGGCAACAACCGCCTGTTCAACCATGATCTCTGTCAAGCGCAGGTCCCCTTCCAAATCCATGGAAGCCTCTCATAATAAGGAAAACCGCGTCAAAAAGCGCTCGTCCAATGCGTAAGTTAGTCCCCGTGTCTCGGCGTGCCGTTCGCCACGTCGCTAACATCAGGCCGACAGCTGCCAACGATGCCGAAGACAAAAGATCAAATGCTCGGGATCGCAGCCGTGCGACACCTGTAGCAAGCGCAAATCAACCTGCACGTTCGATGATCGGGACCAGAAAATCCTTGTCACTCGGGGGTGAGGCTCCTTGGCTTATCTCTGGTTCGTGCAAAGGACACCATTGACCATGATTCTCCCAGATACCTCGAAGACCTCCAACGGAAGCTGGCGCTCCTCAAAGGCGGCGAAGATGAAGCGTTCAGCCCGCAAAGCATGGAGCAGGAGGTGCTCCGGCCAACGACTGAGGGTAAGGCGTCGGTGTCGGACGCGACGGGACGTGCCATACCGACCGATCCGATCCTAGGAGGCGACGACCTGGCTGTCGAAGGAGAACCGGACTGGAGTCACAATCTCGAAGGCGCATCACAACTCACCAACCCATTGTCGTCGGGTCCGTCCACATTTATGGCGGCAGCGTCCGGGCGAATCTGTAAGTGTTGCCTCCGTCGCCTCCATGGCCCACGTTCGCAGGACTCACTAGAAGTCTGGTAGTCTATCTAGGAACCTCGTCCAATTGGTCCTTCGCGCGAAAGATTCTGAGCATGACGCATGAGCATCTATACAACTCGCCCCTGCCCACGGGGAGTCTCTACTTCGACGGTTCGGCGTACGATCTGGGCTGGGAGGGAACGAGGACCACAGTGACCCACGATATCCCCATGGCGCCTCCGTTAGACTTCTCTATCTACCTCATCAACGCGGTCAAGTTCCATGCGGGCCAGTTATTCCACCTCTTCGACGAGGAAACGTTCATGGGCGGCTTGTACGCCTTCTACGAGAATCCAGAGCATGAGATGGCGCATTCGGGCTTGTGGTATATTCATTACTTGCTCATCCTGGCGTTTGGCAAGGCGTTTGTCGTGCAGCGAAATCAAGGCAGTCGACCGTCCGGTTGTGAGTTCTTCACCAAGGCATTGCAGTTGCTGCCGGACACCACCAACCTCTGTCGAGATCCCATCGTCGCCACCGAGATTCTCTGCTGCATTGCCCTGTATTTGCAATCGCTCGATTGCCGCAATTCGGCGCACAATTATGTAAGTCGCGGACCCTGCGCAGCGCTGCAATGTCGTTAACCGTGTAGATTGGCCAAGCAGCGCGTATCGCCCAGGCCCAGGGAATGCACACCAATATGTCCGCGGAGCACCTCGGGGACGCGATCGTCCAGCGATGCCGCCGGATTTGGTGGACCATCTACATCCTCGATCGCCAGATGACCTCGTTGATGGGGTTGCCGCAATCCATCCGCGACGATCAGCTACATCACGAGCTGCCCTACTTTCCGGGATCGCCCCAGAAGGCGATCGCCCTCAGCATGCAAATCAAGGTGTGTCAGATCATGGACGAAATCAGCAGCAGTAGGTCATTGCCCGATCTGTGAGAGACGGCTTGTGCTAACGGTCCAAGGTGTCTATGGGCCCGATGGCCGCCTGAATCGAAATTTCCTGTTGCGAACAAAGAGCGCTCTCGCCAGCGCCGCAGAGGTGATCACCGAGCTTCGAAAATGCTACGACTTGCGCTTGGACGAGTCCTCGATCAGCGGCGTGTCCCGACTATCGGCGCACCTGCATCTACTCTACCATCAGGTCTGACCGCTTCGCTCCTTCTTGTCCGGGGATTGCTTATGGCTGACCATTCGCAGTGCATCGTTTTGGCCACCCGACCGGTGTTGTTTTGCTTTTTGAAGATGCGCATCCAAACCACCGACAGTTCGCTTGAATCCCTGAACTCGTCGGCCAACGTGCGCAAGCTGCTGCAGGTCTGCATCGACTCGGCGCAGCAGATCCTGAACATCCTGATGGTTCTCCAGAGACAGAATCTCTTAGGTAGGGACCGTTCACAGGCTCCGGGGTGGGCGCGCCGCTGACCGACTTGTAGACAGTTTCCTCCCGTTTGACCTCGAAGCCACATACACCGCCGCCGTCGTCCTTGTCGCCGCCCCCGCCGCCGACGCGTCCCTCCTCGACGACTGGACGCCATGGTTTCACACGAGCGTCACAGTGTTGGATGAAATGATCTCCCGCGGGAATCTGATCGCCGGGTTTCGGAAGTCGGAGTTGCAGCAGCTCGCCGGGATGCTGAGCCAGCTGACAGCCGACGGAGACCTTCAAAGTGTCGAATTGGCCAGGAAGGGGCAGTTGGATCGCATCATCTCCCGACTGCCCTCCCCGTCCACGCCGGATCGAGTGTTTGGGATTTCGGACATCCCCAATCTGCATCCGGGTCTGACGACGGCCGAGATCATGGCGGTGGCGGAGTCGATCGATACGGGAGATGTG